ATTAATAAATTAAATTATTTTATAATTTTTAAATAATTTAATATTTAAAAAAATATATATAATAATAAAAAATAAAAATTAATATATTTATTATTAATAATATAAAATATTTTAATATATAAAAATAATAATATTTTAATTATTAAATTAAAAATAATTTAATTCATTTTAAAAATAATAAATCCTTAACATTACTTAAGGCTTAACAAAATAGACTTAAACTTTTAACCCGGCAGTGTAAGCCTATTGTATATACTGTGCTATATACGGTGGCGGCGTGGGGATTGACCCTGGGCTGGCTGGGCTGGTGTGAAAGCGGACTGACCGTCGCCTACGGTGCACGATCCACGGTCTAGGGGGATCAGAATTGCGTGCTGACGAATTCGAAGTCACGAAAGAAGCAGACCCAAACATCTCGTGAGACTTCAGAGTTGCGTAAATCACCCCACACTTCTCGGACGCCCGAATCTCAAGTCGGATGGTCTCCACGACCTCCTCGTACTTTTATTTACATCAGGAAACCCTGTGATTGCCCAATTGCTCGTATCACTCAAGCTTAGTGTTCCACACTACCAAACCACACCACACAGACCACATCGAGGAAGCAATACGGGTGGCTGTGAATAGCCGATCATAAAATCTGCATCTCGCGTTGGTCTGCCGAACCTCCAGCCCTGGCATCCTTGAACTGTGCCTACGCGGCAATGTGGACAATGCACAACTTTCCAACTTAAGAATGCATGAACCAATCGGTAAGATGAAGGCTCTATTTTTTTTCTTTTTCTTTTCTTTTCGTTTCTCCCGCTTATCGCGAACCCCGTTCTACCCCGTTCTATCCGGCGGCTACCTAGGTGGATAGCAAGCTCGAAATCCAGATATCCAGATTCCACATATCGCCCTTATCAAGGCACTCACCGTGCATGAACTCGCGTAGGAATGTAAAAGAGAGAGGTTGGGCTGGTTGGGGTATTTTGCGATTACATATCACCCCTACCCTGATAGCACCTTAGATGGGAATAAATGAGGTGATCACAAGAGGCACAACCACCTAGCCTTAGCATGATGCATCGTAATGCATAATCACTACGAGCTATTAATCCACAACTTTCACATGACCGAACCCGGCGAACGAACATACATACCTCTTATAAATGGTTTCGGGATCTTCGACCTCCTCCGGCTTCCGTTACGAATTTTCGAAGTATGTTTATCGTTCGTTACCTTGCATATTCAGCTTCAGAAAGAGTTTGATGCCGGTCAAGGTGGTGCCAAAGTTGCAGATTTCTAGGTATGTATTAGGCGGCGTACGCCGTGCAAGAACGAATCTAGGTAGAAGATCTACAACCAGCGTCACGATGCTGCATCGTTAGCACCTTATAGCGCCTAACACTGCGGGGGCGATAACCGAGTCACGACGCTGTCGCTGACTGCTTCGGCGGAGGGGTAAAGCACCTCATGCACCTGAAAAGTGAGTAAATAATCCTACCTAGGGTATCAACTAAGAAAACTTGACTTATCCGTCTTATGAGATGGGTAAGTGAAGATGGAGTTTCCTTACGATTATAGTAAGCCAAGACGCATCGTTGAAACGTCCATGACGCCTTCAGACTATCTATGTCGGCTCAAATGGCCTTCCTCTTCAAGGTAGATCTACCCACCGCTCCGCATACAAACCAAGATGCATCCATTGTCCCGATTCTACAGTAGGCCTAGAGCCTACCTAGGTAGAGACTAGAGCACTGATAACGAAAACTATATGCATGCAGTATAACTGTAGTAGATGCACGTGAGAAGAACGCTTGACACTGGAGAAAGATGGCCCGATATAAGACCATATAAAATATAGTATGCAAGTCCATCACAAGATAAGAGTTCTGCTACTGCAGTCAACTTTAATTTTCGCAAACCAGATGCGAACACCCTATAGATCCTATCAAAAGCCGTTGCGCATCTTCTATATACATACTTAGTTACTAGATAAGTACCTATTATTCACAACTCAAATCACCGCCTCCACAAAAAGATGTTCTAGAAACATATGTGCACTTGAAAACCCCTCTTAGCTGGAGATTTTATTGCGAAAGATTTTCATGAATCGATATTCTACTGAAATTAAGATAAAGGTTTAAAGTCTTCACTAGTAAAGCGTAGAAAAGAGGCCTCTTTCTCGTTTCACTATGCGATAACCCCACCCACGATGAGTAAATTTTGCAAATAGCGAGTCCACCAGGAATAAATACTGGGTAATTAATAGGTACTAGGTACAAGACGAAACATATGTACGCGTCAATTAAAACTTCATGATCTGACAATTCTTTAATTAAACCACCACATTCTTGTATACGTACCTATCTAGCTAGTACCATAGCTAGCTAGGTAAGTATAATATCTGATCAATCCTCCTATGCAGCTGCTTTGTACGTCGAGGCAAACTCCTACATATCGAATGCAAGTGGTATTTCACGTTGGGTATCAGAACATCGGTATTTCTCAGATGCCAAGACTGGATCTATAGAGGATCGCTCCCAGGGCAGGGGAACGCCCTTGAAAGTGCTTACAGGCATGAGGAGAGAAAGGACGCGCACCCAATCCCTCTAGGCCGATTCAAGCTCACCCGTCAAATTTAAAAATCGAGCCGCCTAGCCGACGCTAGCAGAAGCTTAAGCCTTGAAGCTCAGGCGGGTTTTGCAACTTGGACCACTTAGAATTCGACTAAACAGTGCTAGTGGATAGGGATACCTCGACCAATGGACAGGTACGCACGCGCTGCGATTGGTCAGGGGGTCGACCCAATTCTCCGGGACCTCCACTGATTTACGTGGTCGATGAGATGAGATGGGACGGGGGTTTGAAGCTTTCCCCCCCTGAGATGACGATCGACCACACCACGATGGATCCTACGCCCTCCCTTCAGCCCCGTCGCGTCGAAGGCTGGCCTGATCTCAGTTAATTATTTCATATTATCAATAGTACAGAATAGGTATGTATTACTTACCTAGCAGCCTAGTACCGGCATTCCACTTAACCGGGCTTCCGGCGCCTCATGGCACGCCGACGCGCAACATACCTTACGCACCCATTCGCGAATTGCCCTGCAGCTTATGCAGGTCATGCAGCGCATCTCGCCAATATCACACTAACGAACCGACGGTACCTCATAGTCTAGAAAAACTCTGTCACAATAGGAGACGGGCTGAGTCAAGAGAAGCTTGGCATCGTTTAGTCATTATTTGGAATTTGTTATTCTCATGAGAAGCAATCGTGGTGAGCGAAATATACGCCGACAATCCTCATAAACCCCATGCCCTCACGTTCGCTTAAATTGCCGCCGGAATAAGGCTCCAGCCCACCACAGCAGCTTGCTCTTCCTCACTAGTAGCCTCCGCTGCAGCGATATCATCCTAATCGATATGTAAACCCCATGAACACACAAGCATGCTCGTCTCCCGCCTGGTATTTATCAGGATAGTATGCTTCTTTCGCGAACTGCTTTACGCCTCGAAGCCCCTTCGAAGCCAACTTCGATAGATATCGGTTCGGACGGGTAGTGTTATTGCGAAGTGGCGACCTTGCCCTCCAGTCCTCTAACTCGTGATCATCGAGTGCTCTGTATCTATTCGACGAAACTGGGAAGATCCTTGAGGCGCGCAAGGAGCGTACGCGTGCTGAAGCGTATCGGAACACGCTCTTCTTGAGTATCGACATTTATGCGGGCATGGGAGTAGACTAGTAACAGTTGTACGGCCGAAGAGAAGCTAGGGCTGCAGATATGGTGACGGTTGCATAGGTAGGTGGGATGACCACTTGAAGAAGTGTATGACTTATCGTAGTTGCTATTTTGAGTTTCAAGACGTCGACGCAGAATAGGAGTAAGATAGCTGACAAGACGGACTCTCCATATCTGGAGAGAGTGCGAAACTATCTATTCTAAATAGAAAGAAGACATACGTCCATGATTCTGTGAGACTGATCCAGCATGTTTCTCAACTTGGTCTAAGTAGGTTTTATTGATTCGTTCATTGCTCAACTCTACGGGGCAATGGTAGCCGCAATATTGGCTTCTATTTATTAAACCATGAACACATCCACGTAGACGGGAAACAGGATAGGAGGATAAAGTCGTCGAAAGTCCGATCCCAAACAGAGCGGTTTCTAACTCCACGAAACTTTCCTCTTATGCCTAGTAACGGCGATAGCTGCGAGACTCCAACGAGTACCACCAGCCACTAGAAAATAGTGGAAAGCCTATCTCGATCGCCTATGTATGTCTCAACCTCAAAAGCAAGAGGATTAAGCCACCATAAAAAGGGCTGATCCCATTGCATCCCGCACCCGCTCAAACACTCCGCGCTGTTACACGGCCTGGTCTCCTTCCTGTATAGAAGATAGTATGGTAGTATGGGTAGAACAGCTATAGCCAGTGAAACGCGCGAAATCACGTACATACTCGACCATGTGACCATGTGAAGTTATACGTGTAACTACACAGAACCCAGCATAACCACGGTATCCCATCCAATATGAAGCGAGCCTATATCAATTCTATGGAAGTTTGAGACATAGGACCGAATTGCCGGGTTACGTGCCTCGGTAACATGTTACATAGAGAGTCGAGGCAATCCTTCAGGTCACTCCTCGGGGGACATACGGCCGTATTATAGAGACTCGATAGGTTTGGCAGGTTGGACAGGGTTTGATGTTATGAATAAAGTGCACATATTGAAAACACGTTTTAAAGCAGGCTCGAGTGTTCCATACTATCATAGGTATTCATGGGCTTCATCTCATTATAATGATTCTATATCATATGTTAATGAGCTACCTAGGTAGCTTTAAACGCGCCAATACCAACACTACCTATCGAGGTAAGGGATATATGATTTTATGTCAACTCCCCAAAATGGCTGTAAGCTAAGACATTGAGGAATTCCTCATTTACGAATAGCATCAAAACAAATAAACGAGGACTATATATACTTCACACAAAAGATGAATCAAGATTGAATAGATAATTTCTTGAACTTTGAATTTCATTGGTAACACATCGTCTTAATATACGTAAAAACCTCCCTATTTCAAACGTGAACGCAGAGACGGTTCCCTCCAGGAATACAATGCAATTCAAATCGAACCGAACCGGTCCAGACGCCTTTAAAAACGATTGGTATTCGCCATTCCTCGATGACGCCACCGTTCCCGACCCCTATCCCGTGATTGTATACCCTACACATTTTACACCAGACATGCACCTTCTTAATCTTCGTCTATCAGGTCAGATCACCGCGTAGGTGACCCGGAAGGACTGTTCTCGCGGCTCAGGCTCTCGATACTCTCGACCATTGCGAGAACTCGTGTTCGTGGCCGCTCAAGCCTCACTGCTTGCGCAGAAAAGACATCACCGTCGGAGTCTTGTACTGGAGAGCGAGATGGCTTCCTCTTCCTGGACTCAGTGCTAAGGCTAAGGTCCCCGCCTAGCAAGCGAGCGCTTTCATCCCGCAGATTCCGCGGTGTGCGCACCGGGGTTTCGGGTTGTCTTCCCCTATCCTCATCATCATCATACCTAATTTTTTCCTTTTCCTTGCCCTTATCCAACCTCCACTCCGCTTCCAGCTCTTCGCGCACCTCGCGCAGGATATCATCCTCGCTCACGGGACTTGGACTGGGGATTAGCGTTCCCAAATCCCTCTCTTCTACCGCTTCCACTCCCCTATCTCCTATTTCTAGGTTTCTCCTCATTTCCTCGGCTTCTGTCGTTACGTCCTTCCCTTTTTCATCCAGAGTCTCTTCATCTGGATTGACTAATACGACATCTTCACCGCTCTCAATATCCGGCTCGGCATTGACAACACGCAAGGGCTCCTTAGGCACCGTGAACATGACCTGCACGAGCCGTCTCTCCACGGCCTTCTCGATATCCCACTCATCATCATCATCGTCATTCCCAATTCTGGGCAAGTATTCTTCGTTCGCGACCCCTTTTCCTTTTCCATTCCCTATTCCCCTTTGACCTAGACCCTGTCCCAGGTTCCGATCCCTTCCTGGTTGACTTTGCTCCAACGCTTCCCAAGCCCCCCTACCGCTCTTCCTCCTTAAGACGCCACCAGCCGCTATTCCACTCAGTCCACCAAGCCTGGCATCGTAATCGCTGGCTTCCCCCTCTGTATCATCGCGAGTCTCCTTCCCATAACGTTCGATAGGGCTCGCATCTGGCGTCGCCCCGCTAAACACGCGGCGCAAACTCCCGAAGAAACTTCGACGAGGCTTTCTCTTACTCGGGCTACCCGGCTCCTCCTCTCTCTCCTTATCCCCGCCTCTCATTCTTCCTCCCATCAACAGCCCTGGCCCCTCGGCTTGCAGGGCCGGGAAGCTGCTTCTTGCTGTATTATAACTTGGTGTAGAACTGGAACTACTCCCACCCCTCCCCTCGTCAACAGCGGCTGCCAGCGCTGCAGCAGCAACACCGAATCCAGCGCGCAGATGCGAACGTATGGAGTCTGAGCGACTGACCGCTGTATTGATATTTGTGTTCAAGTTCAAATTACTGCGGTTGGATTCCGAGACATTGCTCTCTGTGCGTTCGTCCTCGCCCGTCAATCGATCCAACGCCCACCTTGTCGGGCTTTGTTGCGCGGATCGACGCCCACTAAGCAGCGCGTCTACGGCTTCCACATCGGACATCCAGTCTTGGACCTCAGGATCAGTTGCGCGCTCCGGACTTGGCGTTAATGAAACGCGGGCTGGCTGCTGTAGGGCGATGGGCGTGTCATATTTTTCGTTATTCTCCTGGGTTTGTGTTGGTGTGAGGAATGGGTCCGAGTCCTTCCTGCCCTCGTTGCGCAATGGGCTTATCGGCCCGCCCAAAATACCACCGTCATCTTCATCTGCCTCGGCGATGGGATGGATAACAGCAGAATGAGGATCGTAGGTGTTGCGGCGCGGAAGCGGTTTTCTTAAAACTCCCTGTCCCTGCGTAGGCGCTCCCCCAAACCACGAATGCGGCCCCTGGCCTTGGTCTAGGCTTCCGCGATTTGCTTGAAGACTTTGGTATCCAAGTGACCGGCTGCCGCGCATGTACGGGTCGCCACCGCCGGTGTACCAGGCCTGGTCGTGTTCAGTCATCTCGTCGTCATGAGGTAGGAACCGCGAGGTATCCTGCGCCAGAGCACGAATTGCGGAGTTGCGGATAGTGCGCCGGTGCCTCAAACGACGGCGATACAGGAGGTAGATTACTATCGCTATAATTATGGCTGCGATGCCGAGACCCAGGCCAAGCCCTAGCCCTAGGCGTAGACCTAAGTCGCCATTTGCAGTGCTTGAGCTATTGTTGCCTTGGTCTACTGCGTTGTAGGTTGGGTTCGTATAGTCGTTTGACCAGCTCATCGAAGTAAGATTCAGAAACATTGGCACATCATTGCTACTGGAAGCTTGTCTCCTGACTTTGGTTTCGGCTGGGGATATAGTGTAGCCTCCATAGACCATCATCACATTCCCAGGAAGCAGCGCCGCGCCGTGGCCGTAGATACCCGGCCCTGATGGCTGCGTATCGGGAACTACCCACTCCCAGTCTCCTTTGCCGCCGTAGCTAGCGCCGATGTTAAGAATAGCAAGCTGCGGTGAAGCGGTTTGAGTTAAGTCGCCCACCCAACCACCTAAGATAATTAAGGAGGTTCCGTCCTCGCTTAGGACCGCCGTGTGACCGGATCGGCTGTCTATACTAGTGAGGGTGCTTTTGATAGCTAGTTCGGTATTGGTACTGCTTGAACCCACTATATCGATGTTGGAGATAAAACTCCAGCTCTCTTCCGGTAAGCTCCAGATGGCGACAGTACTCATATTGATAAAAGCGGTCTTCGTATGACCTCCCAGGAGTACATAATTAACTTGCTGTGTTACTGTCCCCGAGTGATTGGAAATAGATGGAGATAGACTAGTAAAGCTGAATCCGGCCTCGGCTACCGGGGGACCTTTGCTAGAAACCGGACTAACCGTAAATTCCCCCGTATTGATACCCAAAGGCGCAATCTTGATCATCTGATTCGAGTAAGTGGCGTTCGATTGAGCGAGACTAGCATTGGAAGCGGCCGTCCCAGGACACATTCCTCCGTAAACATAGGTTACGGCAGGCGATAATTGAGGCTCTAGGATATTTGAGAAACTAAAACCACCGCCTAAGAAGCTTGGCCCTGCTTGGATTGAATTTGCATCGGTAGCCAAGGTTGTGTTCGCTCTGCTCCATGACGAGGCTCCGTCAACAGAAGAGAGATAAAATGTCCATATTTCGGAACCTGCTGGCGCAGAACAATCGCCAGCGTAGACGATAAGCGATCCATTATCGGCAAGCGACGGGGTGAATGCGGTTTTGTTGGTATCCAAGAAAGGTACATTCGATGATAATGTTTGGAAAGATAACGATGAAGCTTGAAGGCTGTTTGAAAAGTTGAGCGCTAGTAGGTCGACCCAATCGTCCTGAGGTGAGAATATGTAAGCGATATCAGCAGTCGCATTCTCTTGCGCCGGCTCAGGCTTGGATTGTGGAATGAATATGCTTGTAGGAAAATAGGGTAATGTCTGAGCCGCGCTAATTGTTGAGAGCTGAAATAAGGCCGTAATGAATATTAAAGATCGGATGCCTGCGGTCAGCCGCCAGGCCTGTGATATACGGGTAGCAAACAACACCATCCCGAAGGAAGACTTCATCGCTCTAGGTCAACCCTGTGAGAAGCATCGTCTAATTCCTTTTGATCCAAGAAGCCTGCAAGTAACAAATTGGAAAGAGACAAGTCAACAATGTGTATAACGCGCGCCTTGGAACCCCGCAGGACTTCCGCGATCTCTCAATTCATACCCTATCGATATGATATGACAAGAGTTCAAGGTCCACGGTTTCGCAATGAGACACCAACCGGACGCGGGCCGATAGATGAATGATTTGTTGTCTCGAGCGGTAGGGTTTCAGCTGAAGAGCACGGAGCAGTGTAGAGGGTCTTGTTATTTGGCCGGGTGGATAATGCGAATATGACTATTAGAGATAATCAATGGCGGGGATTTCGGATATCCAAGGTTCCCCAGCCGAGCGCGGGTCTCGTACTATGTAAGCTTTGTGCTACAAACAAATTGCTGACGTTTCTAGATGTGTCCGGATAGAGGTACTGTGTCGGTAGTATTGAATGCTGTATGTCGGGTGTCTGGTTTGTTTGGTTGAAGAGTCGTAATAATTGAGCAAAAGCAAAACAAACAATCGTAATATCTAGATGGTTAAAATCACCATTCAAATTAAACCTAATTCTACAGCAACTTCCAAGATTCGTCTTGTTCTTTCTTCATGCATGAATTTCTCCCATTTTCCCATGCCTCCAGAGCCCCTTCCGAATCAAGAAACCGGATAAGAGAAGGGAACCTTGTGTTTGGAGGGGCACGCAAGATCGGTTGTCACGGCAACCTATTGACTAGTACCTTGGTATTCAATATAACGGTAAGTGCCGACAAGCCACATGCAAGTCAAATCCAACCAATCGTTCGCCTCGATCCACCCAATATTGGCGGCACAATGGAAATAACGGTCTGGTGGTCCTCGTCAGCTCAATATAATTCGCAATTCACTAAGCGCTCTGACACAGGTGCCACCATAACAAAATTAATGGTCGACCAAGAACGCGAATAGCACCTATTTATGAATCTAAAGAACCGTGGAACGACGTCCTACCATACCTAGGTACTACTAGGTACAGTACCTAATCACTAACATCACAAAAAACCCTCCCCCCCCCTGATGAACCCTCACCCCAGATCAGCTTGCATAAGCAGGATAAGATAAACAAATGCGCAATGCCGGAGATTTTAGCAACCGAATCCCCGCACCAAAGTCAAATTAAGCGGCGCCGGCGATCGTATCGAGCCATGCGAAATTCGACATATCCAACTCTCCCTTATCGGCAAGCTCCTGGAGTGCAGCTTTGCTCCTCTCAATCTCCGGCTTCACCGCGGCCACTGCCGCCGACCGGCTCGAGTACTCTCGGAATGTGGCGGGGTTCATGGTGTACATATCATTTCTTCTTGAAACCCCCGAAGGAGGTTGCTGCTCAATTACCGTTCTAGCCCTGTACTCCTCCAGCTGGTCTCTCAGTGACCTCATTTCCAAGTTATTATCGTTATATTGGGTTTGAGCGGCATCTCTTTCCGCCTCCAGCTCCGCTATTCTCTGCGCGAGCTGTGTGGCATCACTGTCTTGGTTGTTTTCATAGATCTGGTTGAGATGCCGTAGCCGCTTTAGTTCCTCTTCATGTGCGGTTGCCGATATGGTGAGTCTGGTGGTTTCGTTTTGCGCCTTGGTGAGTTGGTTGAACATATTTGTATGCTCTGTCTGTAGCTCCTGTCTTCTCCTTTCCCAAGCCGTCGTTTGAGTAGGAAGTGTCGGCTGCGGCACTGTAACGACGGTTGGCCGGTTTTCGATTTCCTTAGTGTACGCCGTGTTCGGGCGGTCCGCGAAGGCCGGGAGACAGAAGACGGGGCCGTGACCGCTACCTTTCAATCGATAATATCTGGTTGAGAGATCTACATAGGCGACACCCTTAAGAAAATCTTCGCCTGCCTGTTCCTCTCCTTCTTGTGGGGGACGTCGTAGCGCATTTCCTACTACGTTCTGTCTTGAGAACACATTATCCCGATTAACACCCCACGCTTCCTTTTTATCAAGCATCTGATGGACAAAGTTAAAGACATCTTCCCCGGCGTTAGCCAATATCCAACGATCTTGCGGGAAGACGATTTCTCTGCCAGCACGCCCGTCAGGTCCTGTATTGCTCAGGTGCTGCGCCGGGACAATGGCCTCGTTCGCAAGTAGGTCCACGGCGTTGGCGTAAGCGATTTCAAGCTCGTGCATGCGGCCCACGAGATGCTGCGTGAACATCAACCACTCTCCGATCAACGTTTTCCTGGCTTTGGGCAGATCTGGGTTCGTGTTCAGGTCCTCTTCCTCGGTCGGGAGGAGCGCAAGCAGTCCGCCCATAGCCGAGAAATCGTGATCAAGTTTCTCGAGGCACTCGTTGGCGTGCATAAGTAATGTCAAATGAGATTGAAACGGGCGAACTGGCTCCAGATCATGTTCGATGTGTTGTACAGGGGTCTCTGATAGTGGACAATGAAACTCGATGCCTCTCTCGTCGCTGTTCCGTTTGACGAGATTTACCAGACTGTTGAGCGGTTTTCGGTGCGCCCTGTCGATATTGTCGTATGGTTTCTGCATATCGTCTAACCAGTCGTAGGCCGTATTCCTAAAAAACGACATCTCGGCGCCATTGTTTGCGCCATCGACCTCGCCAGATGCTATGCTTGGCACGATGGTGGATATCAAATACGCCAAAGACTGTGCATGCTGCTTTAGAGCCTCCAGAGTCGGTGGCCGGCCAGCAGTAGATAAGTAACCGCAGTTAACATGCCCGAGCATCCTCATGTCGCCTGGGTTTTCGTGATGGTGGTTCGAAAAGTAAGGCCTTGCCCAGTAGGTCGGCCCCACATAACCCTCCATGTCTTTGTAGACATCTGCTAGCTGTGGCGGCGTCTGGTTGGACATTTTGACAATAGTCTTACTCAGCGCGCCTTTGGGAGAATGAGTGTAGAACAGAAAGACAGATTCTAACGATATAGATACCTCTTGAGGCGAGGGAAAGATGGGTGAATAATAGGAGAGTACACATTTACGGGGGATATTCTTGATGAAGCATCAAAAGAGAAAGAAACCCCTCTCTATCGCCGGAATGTTAAACAATCCGCTGAGCTACCCAACATTCCAAAGCTACATATTAGGTAGTTCCGAATCTACCAAACAATGAAAACGGCATGGAAGGTATCTGCCGATGATATTTGCTTTCAGCATGAATCTATGAGTATGTGAAGAAAGAGAAAGCGTTCTAGCAATTACCTAGATACCTACCTAGGTACCTAGTATCTAGTAGGTAGGTAAAAAGGCATCCATCCCAACAGAAAATTATCGAAGTGAAGTGACGTGAAGTCAGAAGTCAATAATCGAACTAGCTTGTTTACCTATGTTGATATACTCATCTAGTCGGTTTTCGACTGGATACCTACTAATTAGGTAGTATTTGAGGAGAATAAGTGATACTCTGATTCTATAGTATAAATTCAATCATACCAGGACCCAGGAGAGATAATACGAAGCCACTCTGCCTCACTGTCGAAGTAGTTATCCGGATTCGGTAGCTATCAGGAAGAGCTTGGCGGTCTCACTATAGCGACAAAGGATGCATTCGGCCTAGTCTATCACGGTTCTTAGGGATAGAGCTAATGTCGTGTTGGAATGAACCAAATTTGATGTAGAATTTCTACGACAATGACTTTTTCCTTATGTCTTAAAGCCTCAATGCATCCAATCAGCCACATAAATTTTCAGCTGACAAGGTCAAGTTGCGTTGATATGTCGAGAATATGTTTACATAATCAGAATATAGTACCTAGTAGGTGGAAGACGTCGAGTCGACTTACCTGAGACGGTAGGTATAATACCTAGTTAATTCTACCCTGTTCACGAACCAGGCTTAGCTGGAATATAACTTTGCAACGAGTCAGGGATCTTATATGTACGTAAAGCGCATGTCTCCAAGAGCGCCACGCCGCAAGAGTCTGACCGGTGTAGAAGATCGTTCTATGTGATAATTCTTGGAGGTACGACATAGTTAATACTACTACCTAAGTAAGTATGCATAAATTAGTCAACGTATGGGGTAGAGTTTGAGTTGTAACACTATTGGATATATCATCACAAGACAAGATTGAATGCAACGACAACGACGACGATATTCGTTGGAGGCCTGGCGCATGAAATCTAGTGCCTGGGTATAGCTCGTATCATACTAGGGATACTATGAGTTTTGTATATAGTACCTAGTACCTATTGTGTAGTAGCACCGCGCGGGTGCCCCGATACGCAAGCGGGTTCATGCAGCTATATTTAACGCTGGGATGTTATTGCTAAGAATGGAATGGTCGACGTCCACAAAATAGCTGCAAGCTCCATTAGTTGGATGAAACTGGTAGGGATTACCAGGTCGTCGCAAGCCTCAGGCGCAAACGGATCTCTAATAGTCTTGGATTAATGTACCGATAGTCTGATGTCATTGATCGATTAGGGCGAACTAACAGAACAGAACAGCCGAGATCATAGGGTGCGTTGTAAGGAGGATCCTAGACTGTCCTCGAGTTTTATGGAGCTGCTGTTTTCGTTTCTTTTTCCCAACTATCTCAATGTTCTCTGCCTCTGCCCTGCAGTAACGTTTCCTGCGAGTTGACCTTGTAACACCGAGCATTGAGCATCGAGGATCGAATCAAAATAGTGTTGGGATCTTTGTCCTACATTTTTAGACGCAAACTCCATTTTTTCGATACCTAGGATGAGGTCATACACAATTTATGAAGCATGCTAAGACTTCGTACGAAAAGTGAAATTATTAATTACCTATCTAGGTAGAGAAGTACTCGTAGCTCCTACCTTCAACGTTACTAGATCAATAGATCAATAATCCCTTCAGCTAGAAAATCTAGGCTTTCTTTCTCCATCTGAACTAAAAACTCAATTTTCATCATCAGCCGATCGTCTAATGTACTGGGTTTACTGTTGAAGGGAAAGACTGGCAACGCTGACACGTTAGTGAAGTCTAAAGTCTAAAAGGAAATTGGAAAGTTCCAAGGACAAGAAAAGCGTGGGTCAGGTCAACAGGGGTACGTGCAATCACCGTCATTTCCTTCCTATCTCCTCCCCACGCCATTCGCAGCTCATGCAGGCAAATCCTGGTTCCCGTCAAAAGCTTGTGAAGATCTCATTGCAGGCCTTTTTTTTCAAAATCCTGAATTCCAGGAATTTCTTGGAAACCTCAGACACAGACAACTGGCAGGTGCAGATGTGGGAGGTATAGACGACTTGCTTATGAGGATTCACGTTATTATTATATCAAATACCAGTCGTACAATCCTCGCCCATCCTCGCCATTTTCTTTTCCTCAAGAACCACTTCCCATTTCCTTCTGGGATTGGATTGGATTGGATTCGATGATATTATATCCCAGATCTACGGAACGACGATCGCTGACCAACATCTGGGGTTGATAGTTGCCTCTTCTGTCCAATTACACGTAGCCGCCTACGTTTGTGGTACTATAGTACACTGGGAAGACTGGCCCATTTTTGGTCTCCTCCTTTTGTTAACTTCACGCGTCACCCCTAGTCGTGAAATTTATTCTTGGTATCGTCAATTGAGATTTCACGACTTCGAGCTCTCGTCCGACTCTATCTAGAGTTTGACTGGCGCCACGCAGTCTACGAAAATTCCCATTGTTCATATTAAATAATAGGAATCGCCAATAGTCAAGATGAGCAATCAAGGACAGGCGACTACCACGCCGCCAGCTTCGGCGTCGTGTATGATCTCAACTAATTCCGTCTCGATACCATGGATCACTAACAAAATTTCACAGCTCTTTACTTGACTCTAGCTCCTGTTGCTTTGGTGGCTGGCATCTACTTCGTTATTTTCCTAGTTTTACGCAAGAGCCAAAGGCGTTACTACGCTCCGCGAACTTATCTAGGAAGTCTTCGTCCAAAGTAGGATATTCAATTCATATAAAGTTGTCTTTTACAAGTTGGCTGGTTGCTGATACTATTTTGTGTAGCGAACGATCGCCACCTCTTCCCAATGGCTTACTAAGTTGGATTGGTCCATTTTGGAAAATTCCAGATATTCATTCATTGCAGCATCAGTCTTTGGATGCTTATCTCTTCCTACGATTCTTGCGGATCATAGTTGTGATCTGTTTCGTGGGCTGCTGTGTACTCTGGCCGGTGTTGTTCCCCGTGAATGCGACGGGCCATGGATCATCTGAGCAGGTGGATATACTCTCCTATTCTCACATTAACAAGGACACAGAATCGAACCGCTACTATGCCCATACGTTCATGGCTTGGATTTTCTACGGATTCGTCATGTATATGATCATGCGCGAGTCTATCTTCTACGTCAATCTGCGACAGGCGTTCTTGCTCTCACCTTTTTACGCCAACCGGATCTCTTCCCGAACCGTGCTTTTCATCTCTGTTCCCGACGAATATCTTGACGAGGCTAAAATACGAAAAGTGTTCGGCGATTCGGTTAAGCACGTTTGGATCACTGGAGATACCGAGAAGCTTGATGAGCTTGTTAAAGAGCGGGATGAGGTGGCTATGAAATTGGAGAAGGCCGAAGTTAAATTGATAAAGCTTGCCAACGAAAACCGGCTCAAGGCATTAAAGAAAAACAAGGGCGCCTCTAGCGAAACAGCTGAAGCTCCCGCAGATGCAGAATCGGGTAGCTTAGCTGCGCGTTGGGTCCCTGAAAAGAAACGACCAACCCACCGACTTGGACTCCTTGGTCTTGTTGGAAAGAAGGTCGATACTATCAATTGGTGCCGAACTGAATTGGAGCGGATCATCCCGGCTGTTGAGGCAGCCCAGAATGAATACCGTACCGGGAACTACAAGAAGATTCCTAGTGTCTTCGTCGAATTCGCTCATCAAGCTGATGCTGAGTCGGCATACCAAGTGTTGGCTCACCATCAAGCTCTGCGCATGTCACCTAAATATATAGGTGTTACCCCTGGTGAGGTCGTTTGGAGTTCATTGAGGGTATCTTGGTGGCAAAGAATCATCCGAAGATTCGCTGTACTCGGATTCATTACCGCACTCATCATCTTTTGGGCAATTCCCGTCGCGGTCGTTGGTGTGATTTCCAACGTTAGCTACATTGCAAACAAGGTTTTCTTCCTAAACTGGCTGTTGTCAATCCCCTCTATCGTTCTAGGACTTATTCAAGGGTTGTTGCCTGGTGTTGCCCTCTCAATTTTGATGTCTCTTGTTCCCGTAATCATGAGATGTAAGTTATATATGCCTAAGCCATTCATTTGAAGAAATACAACAACTAATATTCGAATAGTATGTGCTAAACTCTCAGGAGAGCCTTCTCTATCACGGGTCGAGCTATTCACCCAGAATGCGTATTTCGCTTTCCAGCTTATTCAGGTGTTCTTGATAATGACGGTCACCTCATCAGCATCAGCTGTCGCAACGCAAATCGCCCAGAATCCTGGTGTTGTTACATCTTTACTTTCAACGAATCTCCCCAAAGCCTCTAATTTCTACATTTCGTATTTTATCATCCAGGGCTTGGGCGTTGCTTCAGGTGTTCTTTCACAGGCTGTTGGATTCGTTATCTTCTCGCTCATGTACAAGTACCTCGCTGGCACTCCTCGTGCTCTCTACACGAAGTGGGCAAACCTCAGCGCTATATCGTGGGGTAGTGTCTTACCGGTCTATACTAACATTGCCGTCATTAGTAAGACTCTTTAAACAGACCCGGCTTGTTTAAATCGTACTAACAATTGACCTAGGTATTACGTATGCTGCTATCGCACCGTTGGTACTTGGTTTCGCGACTGTCGGCCTTTCGTGTTTCTATCTCGCATGGCGATACAATATTTTCTTTGTTACGGATACAGCTATCGACACCCGAGGTTTAATCTACCCCCGAGCATTGAAGCAACTCTTTTCGGGAATTTACATCTCTGAGCTATGCATGATTGGAATCTTCGCTACTTCTGTAGCCATCGGCCCCCTGGTCCTCATGGTTGCATTCCTCGTTTTCACGATTTTATTCCACCTGACTATCAACAACGCTATTGATCCTCTACTCTATAATCTGCCCAGGACCCTCGGGGCTGAAGCCGAATCTAAGAAGTTTCAGGTGGAGAGCCCCCCGACACGGAACGGTGCACACTCTACTGCCCGCAATGGCCATCAAGATGGTATCCAAGACGGCCTTCCAGATGCTGAGAAGGTGTCATCCGACGATACCGCAGTAGCTGAGAAGAAGCCTGGATTCTTTTCCAAGTTCCTGAAGCCATGGCAGTACTGTGATTATGAGGCAATGTGCAAGCTTGTACCACACGACTCGATTGATACATCTAGCCTGTACTCGGACGAGGTCGAACGCAATGCCTACTTCCCGCCTTCGGTTAGCAGCAAAACGCCGTTGTTGTGGATTCCTGAGGACTCTATGGGCATCTCGAAGCAAGAGGTCCGAGATACTAGCAAGGTGATCCCGATTACTGACGAAGGTTGCACATTGAGCGACAAGAATAAATTGGAATGGGATACAGAAACTGTGCGCCCGCCGGTCTGGGAGGAGAAGATTTACTACTAGGTTCATAATCTGAGTGAGGTATTAGCCTCATGAATACACGCCTAAAATGACTCGAGAACGAGTGGGCTTAGGACATGGTATCCTAGCTTCTCATCATGATTGTTATGGACAGGGTTGGTTTACGATACCAAGTTTTGATCGATGCATCAGGATGAAGTCTTTTCAGTTTTTGTTTATTATTGTTTGGGTTAGTCGAGGTTGATGAATGGTTTATAGGTTTGGGGATGTCTATTATACCCGTTGGACGAAGAGGATGTGTTTAGTATCATGTTAAGCTAATAAGAAACTCTAATAATGAAGAATCATGATATTTAATTACAGCATCATAAATTTCTGGTATTGACTTGTATCCTTTTCTAGACTATTGATTCTTATAGGAATATTGAAGGCAGTTGTTTAGTAAGTACAGAAGTAAATATGTATATAGTTTCCTGATTGGTCAACTTACATGTGTTACATAAGCGAAGGCGCTCCGGTGGCACTAAAACAAGCCAAGGCTGGTGCGACACAGCCAATCACACTTGCAGCTAGTCGTCTCATGACGTCCCACCCCAACCTTGCGTAGTTGACCTTCTTAGTTGTATCGCTCCACTGTTCTTTTGTCTTCCCCCATATCTTCTATCTGTTGAGCAGACCAACCTCCGCAAACGCAACCACTCACGACATCATCGAGTATCTCTCATTCACTCATCTGAGTGAATATCAACTGCTTCCTAATTCTTTCGAATCCAGAAATTGTCATCACGATAATTCACAATGAGATTCTCTACCGCTTGCGTGGCGGCTCTTTCTGCCAGTGTAGCATCGGCTGGAAGCTGGTTTAGCTCCCAAGACGCCGTCGCTAAGGATGCGCAAAAGGTTCCTGGTGAATCTCCTCTCGAGTTCTGCGATACGGACCACAGCAACGATATTATAAAGATCGAGAGTGTTGATTTATCACCCAATCCCCCTGAGACGTATGTTTGGCTAGTTACATTGTGTATTCGAAAGATGAAAGATCCAGCGAATCAAAAGGCATTTCTGTTCTAACTAATGATTCTTGCATATCTAGTGGCTCCGAGTTAGTCATCGAGGCTACAGGAACCGTTTACGAGACCATCACGGAGGGAGCAACCGTGAACCTCGTTGTCAAGTATGGTCTAATCCGCCTGATTAGCACCACCGCCGACCTGTGCGAACAAATCGAGAATGTCGATCTGAAGTGCCCTATTGAGAAGGGAGTCTTGTCCATCACCAAATCTGTCGAGATCCCTAAGGAGGTTCCTCCTGTATGTGTCCCCGGTCTTATAAGGGCTTTGTTGAAAGTTGGTATTAACAAGTGGAATAGGGAACATACAACGTCTACGCCGAGGTCGTCAACGCGGATGGAAAAACTCCCATCACCTGCCTCCAGGCCACCGTGAAGTTCGGAGGTAGCAAGTCGGATCTGTCGATCGAATTGTAGATCGCCTTTGGGCAACCGAAACGAGACTTGTATCACCGTCATACTTCTGGAGAAAAGGGTCTAATTTAAACCTGGATTGATGATTACTACGCATGGCATAGCACTCGTAATGGACGCAAGGGCACCTTTCCCCCTACGCCTGTATTTGTATGGACTTGATGGCACCATAGTTTGATTTTTTGTTGTTTGCTTCCGCGAGTCTGGTTCGACATTTTCTTTGATACCGCATGGTTGTGATGAAGGCACGTAATCACATGAGTTTAGCATTAGTCGCGCATCTACAATGATACCCCGTAAGGGCATTTTCGAGTCTTTGAACCCCGGCCTCAGACCTCCGCTAGAGCATTGCAATCCATGAAACCCCTTTGATGTTTAAGAATGATGGATGTGTATAATACAATCCCGACCTTGTAGCCATCTCGTAACAGTATTTGTATAAAGTATTTGTATAAAACCCATTAAAAATGCCTCTACTCTCCAAATAGACGCCTCACTCTTCTCAGCACACTATCCTTCTCGGGGTCGTACGGGTGCTCTTTACTGGGGATCTCGAGTATGGTAGGGAAGGCAGCCGTGTAGGTATCGATTCGATGCCTAATCTTGTCGGCGACGTGCTGGTTTATCAATATGATACCGATGTCCTTGCGCTGCGTGGTGAAAGAATCGAAGGCGGCCTCGATGGCTGATGCGTCCGTCTTGTTATCGACGACTAGGAAGTTCTTTTGCGAGTCGGGCGGGTTCGTGACGTGCTAAGCATATGGCCCTCGTTAATAAACATCCCAACTTAGAGTTCGATAGACCGCAAAATGGCGGAAAGCTAGATGTTGAGGCTTACACCTATTCCTGCTAGGAGGAGGCCCGTGACTGAATCCTAATCATCTCTGGGGTTAATCTTCTGAATTATTGAGTGGCTGCTGTGTGGCGGTTGCGCTAACCTCGTCGCCGATGACGGCTAGGAATTGCCTGTCCTTGTAATCTGCGTGGGACGCCATATTTGTGAGTCAATCGGAATAGGCAGCGTGGGCGTGGTTTGGTTGAATCGTTGGGTGTGCAATTCAAGGTTGCATTTAATTAGGAGACATCTAGAGGCGCCTAGCTCGAGATAGGTACTGTATCACAGGTACTGAGCTTGCGAAACGCACGGCTGAAACTTGTAAGGTGCTTGCTAACCCACCTGGCAGGCAGAAGTAGCGACCGCTAAAAGGAAGCTCTGACCGCCTGGACTACCGCCTGCTAGGCACCTACCCCGCCATTTTACAGGTATCCATATCCATCTACTTGTACCCAGGTACACGCCTAATTTAACCAGTTAGCAGCCGCTATTGCTTGTGCCTAAAAAAAACCCTAGCACCGCCTAATACGTAGCAACCGCGTCCCTGTAAAATTTCCCATTCTAATCTTCGTGAGCCGTGTTTTCTTTCTTAACGAAAAGTCAACAAAGGGAAAGCCGGACGCAGCCAGCAACGCAGCATAAACCTCCCTTCGCGTGGGAAAGGCTGCCGTCGCTAGTTTAATACCATAATACACATACGTGTGATGGGTATTTACTAGGTAGCCAAATTCCCGATTCGCCTACACGCAACGTCCTGTCGAGATGCCGCCACGGTTAGTTCGTCGGAGACCGCTCCTAGAGCGTGTCAAGTCCATGCTCAACCCCATGGACTTCCTGTTGTGGTTATCTGAGGAGATCGAGACACGCGACTGGGACTCTAAGCTCGTGGGGACGCAGATGGGACTGGTTATGAACTTTGCGTTTCTGCTCGCCCGAGCCAATAGTGGTGGTTCTCAGGCTGTAGATCCTGTGTTCGACGAGGGAACGGTCTCTGGGTGGTTTACTTTCCTCGTAAGTTTCACTTTACTATCTACATATATGTGGGATTCACTGGAGACTATAGATTTGTTTCTAGTTGCTGACCACGCTTGCATGCGGTTGCATAATAGGTCGGCTCCCTAGTCTGGTGTCTTATTACCGCTTCGGCCGTCAATGCGACCTACACGATGTATCGATCTCGTCATTATCGACTATTCGAAGCAGATGTAGAGAGGGAGCCCCAGACACCTTCGGCGCATCGTGTCCGTGTCCAGTCGTCACCGGTATCGTCGTCGCCTCTCCGGCTTTTAACGAATATGATAGGCACCGAGAGTGCGGAATCGAGAGCGCATCCCGATCGGGCTCGAGATGTGTGGGAGATATCGGTTTGGGATCCACTACCGATTTGCCTGCAAATATTTTGCTTGTTCAGTCCTGGTCATGTCCTCGTCTACACGATGTTCCTGCCGCTAGCGCCTCTGGATGCGAGACCAAGTGTCACCGTCTTCAACTGCATCGTCCTTCAGTGTATCCTCTCGGCGCAACTACTTCTATTCCAGAATAGGTTTACGCAGCAAAACAAAGACACCGCCATTATTCAAAAAGAAGTTATGCATGAATACGATACCAAGTTCGTTCATCCTCGCCTTTACCCTACAGTCAGGGATGCCGCAACGCAAATATCGCAGGGTGAGGAGGGTGAAGACCTTGATGAAGATATACAAGTTGGTACACCTACCGTCCAGCTACGCCGAGGTTTCCGGACACGACCCAATCCCAACTACATTAAACACATTGACCCTGACCGTGGTATGGGCCGATCGAACTACACCAACAGCGGAAGTAGTTCTGGACTATTCACACCCCCTGTTACACGACACACCGAGGCCTATGGCAGCGAGCTAAGAGGTCGCACTCCTGTGGCTACTGCCAAAACTCAATGGAAGGGTACGCCAGGCCTTCCTACATCCTTTAACCCTACCTCATCCCGTCGAGGAGCTTCCAGCGCTTCAACTTCCACTCCTAACTTTTCTGCCTCTACCTCTAGCACCCACCAGACCCACCAGGTAGGCGATGGCGGCTACATGGGTGTATACACCCACCCTAAATCACCCTTAAAGAAGGCTCCTAGTCTAGGAGAACTTCAGTTTAGATCACCGCGAAATAACAGCGAGATGGCTCAACTCGAGCAATACCAATCGGCGAGAGAACGCAGCAATAGTCCTATAAAGAGCACTAGGAAAAGCACTGGGACGATGAATGTTCAACCGTCGAATAGTTGGGGTAGACCTACTCAAGCACCTTCTTACGAGAGATATCCATCTATGTGGCGGTAAGAGGGTTATGGTTGTTTTTATCTATTTTTTATGTAGACTATGCATTGATGTTAGGATTATCAGACATCAGGGGGGTTCTTGTGGATTTTGTTACGCCGCAGTGAAGAAAACTCTTTCGTATTCACCGGCGTCTGTATGAATACGAGCTACTTCCACAGAAAGTCAAATAGAAGTAGTGATGATGTTTAAGAAACTGCCGGCCTACCTCCTTCTTCACTTGGCCCGTGGTAATGCTACTTCCCGTGTATTGACGATAAACTTTTGTACATCAGTTGTTCTCACCCTTAAGTTGGGATCAAAACCTAAATGTTCATGTTTCTCCAACCATCAACCTCGGACGATCCACGATACCTATCGTCTGTTGAACCTAAGTCGCACGTTCCCCAACGTTATAGTCCGATCCTGCCAAACTCTGATCCGCTCACCTACCTCAAGTGTTCTCGCTAACTGCCGAGTAGCCACGCACTTGTGTTGTCTAATCCTATGAGTGAGGGAAAGATGAACATTCTCCTTAGTTCCGTTTCGGATTCGTCACCACTATCAGGCAGGTAGTAACGATCGTGTCTGATCTGATCTGCCCTGGGGCAGAAGAGAAAGCCAAAGAAATGGCATCTCCAAGACGTGGACGATCTTCATCTTTATTCTCACCGTCATCGCTACGCAGTCCAAGCTCGGACTGGCTTGTATCATTTTCCCCTAGTACGAGTCAAAGCCAACCACCACCGATCCGACAACGCACGAAAAGAAAGATGAGCCCCGGAAAGCCCTCAACGGCTACTAGTGCTGACCGACCGTCTCAAAAGCGAACGTCCTCTTTCAGCGGCTTCTTTAGCAAGATTCTACCGAGCAACCGTCCAGAGCAAGGAGGAACATATCGCACAACTGACTGGACGGGAGATGAAGAGATCGATCCTAGCGAGTTGACCGATTGGAATATTGCTAAGGAGAAGAGCCCAGCTCATCATACAACTTCATTGATAGTCCCTGATGAGTCCATTCATCGTCGAGTCTGGAGTTGGAGCCCACAAAAAGGGGACTCTAGATTCGTCGAAAACTTGCCTAGGGATCGATCTCTTGGACGTGAACGGTCTCCAGATAAACCGGATCGTGAACCACTTCCGCCTCGGAAATCGGAAGCCCTGAATAGGGCGGAGGTCCATGAGCTGCTCAAATCCAAGGAGATGAGCAGGAAAAGCCGACGAAGCCTGAAGGAGAGCGGGGACTGGCTGGGTGTTCAGGGTGCTGATCCATACTCGGGACAATTTCCGGTTCTGACACCTACAGATACGCCTAGCTCGGAGACAACAAGCAATTCAACGCGAGGCAGGCTGGCCGGGTTATCACGGAAGAAGAAGGCTGCAAAGTTAGAGTACGAGCAAGCTAAGCTATTAGAAGAACAGGAAAAGGACAAGGCTAGATTGAACAAGGAGCAAGCGAAGCTTAATAAACTCGAACACGCGAAGGAAGAACTTAAGCGTCAGAATTCATCACCAAAATGGAGCCAACATAAGCGTCAATGGTCATCCGCCGCCGAGCCCAGTCTCAGCCCAATCGCTCAATCCTTAGATAGTGTGGCACTTGGAAGCAGTGAGACATCTAGTTTACTGTTTTCGGAGATGCCCACTGACTCTGCCTCATCAGATCCCGAAGAGATCACAGTTATCCCGAACTTCTCTCGTCCCAATCGCCCGCCCGTAACTTTGAAGGCTACTTCAGGTCAAGCCGAACGTCTTAGCTGCGATGGCTCACAACGTCGAGGTCATGAACGCCGAGACTTGTCAACAGATACGATTATACATACCTTACCAGATACTAATCCCGATTCTGCATCTCTAACAAGGCCGGTTACTCAGCCATCAGAGGAGAATCTCAGTATTGGACAATCGGATATTGGACGAACCAAGAGCGAGAGGCATTTTTTATGGAGACGCCGACGAGAAACAGATCCGGGAAAGTCCGTTTCAACACCACCCGTGAGCCTCATCACATCCATGAGAAACAAGAACCGGACGTCCAATTCGGTCCAATACATCCCAAAGGATCACTTCGCCGACCTAGATATCCCGGATTATCGACTCCATCTCTTATCTCCGGAGCCGGCGGACACAGGCGACAGTCAGTCGACTCATTCGGAGGATTCCCAACTAACGACACCCAACTTAAGCTCCCTCGGGGTAATGGGCGGCAGCAAATTAGCACTGTCCTCAACTACAAACCTGGCCCGCTCACTGGGAAACGACAGAAGCACCCAAAGCATAAACGGAGCTACAGCGACCTCATCCCAGCAGTCAAAACTGAAGGGAATCATGAGACGTCCTTCGAAGTCCATCCGCCGAAAATTAACCCCAAGCCTGCTAGGTACAGCTCATACCAAAGAGATGGAGAGAAATCAGAGATCGCCTCCAACTTTCGACCAAGTCCAGGACCACTCGGTCAACCATTTACCGGAAGATATCCCAGAGTGCCAGAGCCAACATCTACAGTCGGATCTGCAAGGGAGGATCAGTTTGGAGCAAGCAGAGACGATTTTGCCCCTAGACAAGAAGGCAAAATCAGCCCGGAGAGGATCTGTGTCCATACCCATCACCACCACTACTGGATGCGTGGACCTCGCCCTGGTGAGCCTATCCGACTTTCCTCGGCCGAAATTGAGTATCGAAACCAAGCAGATCAACGGCCACACAGGCGCCACGGAGTTTTCGACGATTCCAACGTCGTCCCGTCAGCAAGAGTGTCACATCATACCGGAGCCGATCCAAGAGGAGTTTAGGACGACTTCCCCTCCCACCGTGATACAGAATGGCTCGCCGAATCTCGAGCCCCCTCAAGAGACACCCGGGATCGATATTATATCAACCCGCGAAGCGGCACCAGAAAAGAAACCGCCAATCAGAGTTTCCATTTCAACGATCCCCCGCCTCTACCGCCCCGTCCAACAGAATCTCGAAACGAAGGACGCCGAGATGCGGAAGAATACGGACACGGTAGTGGGAATCGAATCGACCAAGATACAAGCACTCAAGCCTGTAGTAGATTCCAACGGCACAACCAAGCAGGAGAAGCAAGGCCGGAAGATCAGCCAAGAACGTCAAAACAAGGGTTCGACCCAAATCCCAAAGGTAGCTTCGCAGGAAGCTCATCGGCGCGTATTGTTAGAGAAACAGAAAGAGAACATGCTAGAAGAGGCAACCCGAATCGCCATATTGCGTTCGAAGACCAAGGAAATGGCGACAAACAGATCGGCCGATCGCAAGGCAGGCCGAAACCGCAGCCGAAGTCCCAGCCCGGTCAAGAAGCACATGCCAAGCAAAGCGACGGAGCCGAAGCACTCGCTTCAGCAAAAGCGCCCGAAGAAGAAACGCCACAGCGAAGAAGGCGGAGGCACCGGGCTTCCTTCCAAGCATGAACACGTCAAGAGGAGCACAACCCAAACCCAAACGCAGCACAAGAGAGGTTCTACGGAAAGAATTGATTGGGCAGACGTGACTGCGACCGCGGTCCAATTCTGTAAGACCGTCTACGTAGTCTTCCTCGGCTTAGCTTGCACGTGGTGGGCCATGGTCCGGCCCGCGTTTGATCAACAAAGCGATCTCTGGAGGAGGAGGCACAGGAAGCAGAGCACATGGGAAGATGCGATCGTCTTCATCTCAGCAGGTGTGTTCTGCCTTGCCGGCGGACTATCCGGTTGGTACGCATCGAAGATACTCTGGTGGCTTATCGAATAGTGGCTTTTTGAGACATTGAGACTTTGTATGATACAATAGGATGGTATTCTTGTATGATTATGTACGAGCTTGAGCCTTGAGGGGTTCGGGCTCGGGTTCAGGTTTAAATTGGGAAGAATGGTCGACTGGCTACCTATCGCAGAGGTTTCTTAGAACTGCCTAACCTAGTAATGAAGCTCTCTAGATACGGGTAGCTAGCCGACTGCGGTATTCGGAAATGGTTATGGCTGATATGGGTACTGGACCCATTTCCAGCAGGCCGTTCTAGATGGTTGAGGCTCCGACGAGAGCCGATGACCCTGAACGGCAGCGAAAACTGGAGCTGAGGGACGGTAAGCATCGGAGGGACACCGGACCGCTAAAAGGCTAAAAAGGGGAGGAATATTCCTGGAGGTTGCTGGAACTTCTGCGTACCACTTTAATATAACAAAGGTGCGGTGAATATGCATCGCACTATACTAGAGGTAGCCGTAAGGATTATCACCAACGATTGATTATTCGGTGTAACGAATTTGCGACTTCATGTTGGCTCTTACTTCTAAAAGCCTATTAAAATTTTAAGTGAACTTATACTATATATGTACATGTGTACCTAGTACGTACATCCATGATGCGCTTAGAACTTGGAACCCTGAACATTTGAAGTTTTTTTGCTTTTCTGCGGTGTAGCGTTTCCCCAACCTGTATACGTACCTCGTACCGTAAGTACCGTTTGTACCCAATTAACACCACACCGAAAGAGCGGAGAGTAGATCTCTGTACTACAACATCCATATCGAAGGTACTTCATTTGGCCTAGTGACTAGTCACAGCAGGGGGAACTAGGCACGTACATCTAGTACATGTAAGGAGGTGACATCATCAACCAGGTCTCCTACTTCCGAGGTGGAGGCTTTTTGGGGAAACACTACCTAAGGGACTTTATATATCACGTTGCCGTATTGGAGGTCCGGATAGTTCCTTCTGTAGGAGGTAATGTATCACCCGAGCTGTCAATTACTCAATTACACGTTTGCCGCCCTTGCCTTTGGAGAAAATGGAGACCTTCGTAATCATTTTCAATGTACCTAAGTAGGTAAGCAAGGGCCTGGAAGGGGGCGTGCTGGGCGGGAATGCAAAAGCCGTGCGTCCGCCTAAGAGATAATACCTACCTAACCTACGTAGCAATTCTAGGGCTACCTACAGCGTATAGTATATTCCTAATCATAGCGACCTAGGTAGTTTTCGACTTGGGGCCGATTTGATATATCTACCTACCTAGTAGTCTGCATGCAATTATCAGCATACTTCTGCAGTTGACTCGCACCGAGAGCCCCTCACGTGGGGTAGCAGGGGTGTCTTTAAGCATGGCAATTCTCAATTGCCCCAACTGCACCGCACATTCCGGTTTGCTGCAGCCAATCAGCGTCAGCGAGATTCAAATCTCGAACCTATTCATGTACCCCGCTACCGGAGAGCAGGGAACGCCGTCCGATATTCGGCGCGCCGTAATGGAGGCAAAAAAAACCAAAATAGTGAAAAAAAGGCAACACAAGAAAAAAAAGAGGATATTGTACCTAAGTAGATAGCTTCCCTGTGCCGGTCACAGTTTCTTCGCTTTCTTTGACCTCATGTCTGTGTACATAGTCTACTTCCTTCCCTAAATACATATTTAAAAACTCTCTCCCCGCATTTATAGACTTTCAATCGGGCAGCCGAATACTCTCGATACTACCTGCGATCTCTTGAGATCGTATACTTTTCATCTTTTCATACTTCCTTCGTCTTCCTATCTCTATATTAATTGCCACCCCCATCGCCAGTTTGAGTGCGCACACGTTCGGGATTGACCTCGCTTCAAAAGGGTCACGAGATACATTGGAGAGATCCTCGTATTTCAGTACAGACTGACTTTTCAAGATGCCCGTTGCCGAAAGCGTCCCGCAGACCTTGTACGACAAGGTTCTAGCTGCTCATGTTGTGGATGAGAAGCTTGACGGCACTGTCCTGCTCTATATCGGTAAGGACCAAGTCAATTGGGTTTCGTCAAGATAGCTTTTGTGTTTTACATGCTAACCTGCTTCGCACAATAGACAGACATCTCGTTCACGAGGTTACTTCACCTGTATGTGATACTACATATATAACGGGAACCTGTGTGCAATGTAAAACGTACTAGAGCTGACAATGAATATAGCAAGCATTCGAAGGCTTGAAGAACGCTGGGCGTAAAGTCCGAAGACCCGATTGTACCCTCGCCACTACAGATCACGTATGTCTCACTTTCCGTGAATGGGCTAACGTCTCAACTTTAGACAAAGCTGGCCGAAGCTGACATTACTCTTAGAATATCCCCACCAAGTCCCGAAAAGGCTTAAAGGATCTTGCCTCTTTCATCGAACAAGACGATTCCCGCCTACAATGCATAACCCTTGAGGAGAATGTAAGGGATTTCGGGGTTACCTACTTTGGTCTCGGTGATAAACGTCAGGGTATCGTCCATGTCATCGGTCCCGAGCAAGGTTTCACCCTTCCTGGTACCACTTTGGTGTGTGGCGACAGCCACACTTCCACCCACGGAGCTTTCGGATGCTTCGCTATGGGAATTGGTACCAGTGAGGTCGAGCACGTTCTGGCCACACAATGCCTCATTACCAAGAGAAGCAAGAACATGAGAATACAAGTTGACGGTGAGCTGGCTCCCGGTGTTAGCTCTAAGGATGTCGTGCTACACGCCATCGGATTAATCGGAACTGCCGGAGGCACCGGCTGTGTCATCGAGTTCTGCGGTTCTGTTATCCGCGGCTTAAGTATGGAGGCTCGTATGTCTATCTGCAACATGTCCATCGAGGGCGGTGCCCGAGCTGGTATGGTTGCTCCCGATGACATTACTTTCGAGTACCTGAAGGGCAAGCCTCTTGCTCCTACCTATGGAACTCCGGAATGGGATCGTGCTGTTAAGTATTGGAGAAGTCTCCAATCAGATCCAGGTGCTAAGTACGACATTGACGTCCAGATTGACGCCAAAGATATTATCCCCACCGTGACTTGGGGTACGAGTCCTGAGGATGTTGTGCCCATTACCGGAGTTGTTCCTGACCCGGAGTCTTTCAAGTCCGAAGCAAAGAAGAAGGCTGGCAGACGGATGCTTGAGTACATGGGTCTAACTGCCGGCACCCCGATAACGGAAATCCCTATCGACAAGGTTTTCATTGGTTCCTGCACAAACTCCCGAATTGAGGATCTTCGTGCTGCCGCACAGGTTGTCAAGGGCAAGAAGAAGGCCGACAACGTTACCCGTGCTATGATTGTGCCCGGTTCTGGAGTAATCAAGGACCAAGCTGAAGCTGAGGGTCTTGACAAGATCTTTTTAGATGCCGGTTTCGAATGGAGAGAAGCGGGGTGCAGTATGTGCCTCGGCATGAACCCAGATATCTTGTCACCTAAGGAGCGATGCGCAAGTACGAGTAACCGAAACTTCGAGGGGAGACAGGGTGCGCAAGGCCGAACACATCTGATGTCTCCTGTTATGGCGGCAGCAGCAGCTATTGTTGGCAAGCTTGCCGACGTCCGAAAGTTAACCGAGTACACTGCCAGCCCTCATATCGATGCCTACAAGTTAAATAACACACCAACGGCACCAAACGGCAAGGCGCACGTCGACGAGAGTGTCGAGGATGACGACACCGCGAGGGAAAGGATTACAGACCAACCTGAAGATATCTCACCCCATGTCAATTCCATGACATCGGAAGCACCCGGTTCTCAAGGCCTACCAAAATTCCTGGTTCACAGGGGTATCGCTGCCGCCTTAGACCGATCTAACATCGACACCGATGCTATCATTCCTAAACAATTCTTGAAGACTATTAAGCGCACCGGTCTCGGATCAGCTTTATTCTATGAATCAAGAACCAAGGAGGACGGATCCGTAAACCCGGATTTCGTTCTTAACCAAGAACCGTGGACGAAGGCTAAAATCCTGGTCTGCACGGGTCCCAACTTCGGTTGCGGTAGCTCTCGAGAACACGCTCCCTGGGCTCTTAACGATTTCGGTATCCGATGTGTTATCGCCCCATCTTTCGCCGACATCTTCTTCAACAACACATTCAAGAACGGCATGTTACCCATCGCTATCAAGAACCAAGCCGAAATTGAGAAGATCGCGACCGAGGCTCGCGCGGGCAAGGAGATTGAAGTCGATCTACCAAACCAAGTCATCCGTGACGCCGACGGTCATGAGCTTGCCAAGTTCGATGTCGAAGAGTTCCGAAAGCACTGCTTGGTTAACGGTCTCGACGACATCGGCCTGACCCTCCAGATGGAAGACAAGATTGTCGACTACGAGAAGAAGGCGTCAACCAACACTCCCTGGGTCGACGGCACAGCTTACCTGAAACGGAAGGGCCAGGGCGGCAAGCTAGCCGCCAAGCCCGTCCCCGTCCCTACCACAAATCGCGGACAGGAGCTCAAGGACCCTATCGAATGGTAACATGCTTAGGTAGCAAGGAAGGAGGGGGAGTTCTGCGCGGTTTCGGCGTTTCCCGGAGGAAAATCATTTTTAACGCATGCGTGTGCCTTGAATGCGCCACCTACTATTGTTGATACTGAATTCGTCGCGATGTGCTTTGACGATAGGATGAATAGCATTGGATGTGGAAGGATAGTGGTGACAACTACTACAACACATCTAACATTAAATGAAAGATACTTCTTTGATGAACTGATTGTTTTTCGAGTCTTCGAGTCGTATCCAAGTGTTACGGAGATGATAGACTACCTCCGCTAAACACCGAGTGTTTCCCCTTTTGACTTAAATCAATCTCAGATTGAAAAGGAGATGTCTTAGTCTCTAAATATTTTAACGTAGCATTAAGGAAGATCACATAAGCCCACATAATCCCACGAAGGAGTCGATTTAGGCGTTGAGGTCGGACCGGATTCCTATAGGGTCAGGTCCACTTACGACGTACTTACCTAAGCCTAGCGAAAGGAATATCGAGGTCCCTGAATTTTATATCACCGAATTATCAAGCATAAGAATAGATAGGTAAGTAAGAATCAATGTGTTTTAGCAGAAAGTTGCATTACTGCTACAAAGGCCATCCCGTTAGAATCGATGATTCAGCGGATCCCGACCCATGTATGTATGGTATGTACCATGGGGGACGGACCCGTGCTGCTAACAAGACGCCTTTTTCCTGATGCGAGTTTGGATATCATCAAAATCACCAACCGCGCCGGCAATTTATCCACCATCCATCCGCCTCCCTGCTAACACAAACAAACAAACCCACTTATTAAAAGAGCTCTAAGGTCGTATAATCGGAGATGAGAAACCCGAATAAAATCATTCCGCGCCGTTAACGCATTAACACAATGCAGCTCCGTGCTGAGCATTGGTGTGTAGACAATATCCGTAATTTGCCTTGGTTTCCCCCTCCCCTCCATCCGTACGCCCCGAGCCTCCCATAATCCGCCGCCGTGTCCGAGCCCATGCGGTATTGATAGTAGAACTTCATCTCGCCAGTGTACGAAGACTGCTCGGAACAAGTCTTCGGTTACCAAAGTGAAACAACTGAGCAAGTGGAAAAATATTGATCGAAAATCGATCTAGAGCCATATGCGTATAATTCGTGCAAGTAGGGTTCTCATAGTAAGTAGTCGTATGATCATCGCGTTGAGAACCCCCCCGTTCCTGATCTCGCCCCATCCACCCCCTCATTGATCTCTCGTCGCCCATTACGCCATGGGAAATCTGCATCATGAAAAAAATTACCGGGAAATGCTTTCCACGGTTCGCCTGTATCTGTCAAAATGCTATCCGAGAGATCGATCAATCCAGTAGAACCATTCTACCAGAGTTGTAAAATACCTTAGCTAACATGAACGAACGATGGCGTGCTCGAATACCACACGTCCAATAGCCCAAGATACAACCATTTGTAGTGATTTCGTACCTATGCGAAATTATCGAAGTTTCGCAACATGGGCGCGATCCAATTGGATGTGTTCAGAGTGGTGCACCACCAGGGCTATCGCTACCAAGAGGGGCTCCGCCGAAATTTGCAGATATCCATGAGTTATTGCCATGGGTCTGTGTCCTAGATTTCGCGCCGCTTCTCTTGGAGTTGCGGAGACTAGCATTCTGACGTTCATTGACCCGTCTATACTATTTTACCTGATCTCTGAATGTCATAAATTCGCGAATCTTGGCTTCGTGGTCTGCACAGGCACTGCTCCACTGCACGCGAACAGCCTGGTCTTGCTCAAGCTCTAACAGGTAATCTCGAGCCCCCGAAGGCGTTTCTAACCATGCCAACCCTAGATGTTGGCGCCGCTGTCTATAAAGATCCTGGCGGGTTGAGAAATGTGCCATGACCCTGGAGCTAAAGATCTCCCACTTGTCCAGATACTGGTAAAACTCCTGGGAGTATTTACGAAACAGGGCTTTGTTGGGCTGGATTCCGGGTACGACCACTGTTGGAGGAAGGCGCGGAGCAACAGGGGGAGAAGGGAAATCCAGCGGCGACCACTTAGAGGGTTGTTCTCTCTCTAGAGGAATCTGCTCAGATGGCTTGCTCTCGAATGGTAGAGTAGACTTTAAATCACTGAAATCTTTGAGACCCGTGGCAGATGGGTTCACGAAAGGCTCCACCTTTTTGAAATCGGCAAACGTGGTGCAAAATTCATCAGTATCCTCCGAGCCACCATGTTGTGCAGCAAAGGGCTTCGATACGGGAATAGGTGCTGCTTGAGGCGCAGTAGTCTGAGCGTAGGGCCGCTTAGCGGGAATTCCATCTCGTACTGGGCTAGCAGACTTCGTACGCACACCATTGACATCGCCTGCTCTCCATTCCTCTCTGTGAGGTTCGACAGGAATCTTGCGGGCGCCGTTAGTTTGTGGTGCTTTCGGAGTCTCATCCACCTTCTGTGGCGGAGGTGAATCGATGTCCATCGCGGTTGCAGTATCCGCATTTGCCTGAGCGGAACCAGACGAGGTTGACTGAGCGTCATGGTATCCGTCACTTTCATCCTCATCCACCAGTCCAGCCGTACCTGCCGTCATCTTGACAGGTTTACCCTTCTTAAGATTAGTGCGACGAGTCGGCGAAGACGAAACGCTGCGCGAAGACTGGGGCACGAAGTGTTGAGATCCTATTTTATCACTCCATTCTCCTGCTGAAAACCCGGTTCCAGCGGCGTTCCCTAGGCCCTCCGGCATTGAAGGCATTCGTTCTGGTTCAGCTGGTCTTGTCTTAGGGGTTTGTCGACGACTTCGACTACGAGATTGAGGCCGTCCCTTCGTAGGAGTCTGCGGGCCATTCGTCGAAGCGGTCCCTGCGCTGAACTTCAACTCTTCAGGGAGTTCATCCCAATCTTCACTAAACTTGGTATTGATACTATCAGTGCTTGGTTTAGAAAGGCGCTCTTTACCGGTCCCCTTGAAGGCTTCGTCGCTTGCGGCCGAGAAGTTGAAACTAGAATATGCAGGGTCAGCGCCGATCTTAAGTTTCTTCTCTGCGATAGGATCTTGCGAGTTTCCACTGCTCGACTTGGAGGAGGTACTGCTAGTACGCTTATTCGACATCGCTCGACCATTGATAAGACGAGCAACGTGATGTTTCTGTATCTCCTCGAAACTGAGCAAGGAAGGATGCGCTGATTCATCCTCACTTGAAGGATACCGTAGTTTGCAACCCCGGTCTTCGACCTGCACAGCGGACAGGTGGAATCTTTTGCTAGTCGTGTTGTTGGAAGACTGGAGCTTGGGACATGACGGTGGTGGGGAATAAATATGTGATAAAGCATACACTGAAGGTCCATTGCTAGGTTGCGCCGAATTTCCACCCACTAAGGACATCATGTTAGCATGTAGTTTGATATGCAACATCCCTGTCATGGAGTGGAACAACATACATTTGCTACCGTTCACAGGGGTGGGCGTAGCTGGATAACTTCCAAATGGAGATGGTGGGACTCCGTTGCTCTGTCCGACATTCGGCTTATAGCGATCACTAGGTACTGGTTGGGGGGTGCTACTACCATTCGGCATTTCTCGAGTAGTCGCCGTGCCAGTATGCTTGGAACCCGCATGACCGGTGAAATTCTTCATCGATTCATCAAAGGCTGCATCGTTGGTTGCGCTCTTAGGGGTACTGGAGCTTCGAGGACGATACTGTGGGAACGATCCAGGCATATCTGGTCTTCGGGGTGATCGGGTGCTGCTAGTACGGCCGATACCTAGTCCATCATCAAATAGGCTTGTCTTCTCACCACCAGGAGTATGGTATGGAGTGCTTTGGCGATCATCCCAAACTTTACCCTTGAATTGAGCAAACTGATCCGTTGAAGTAGATGCCGTAGAAGCAGTAGAAGCCGTAGGAGCAGATGGACGAGCACTAGGCTGCGGGACATCGGGATCGACTTCATTGAATAGGGTCGAGTGCGTTCGAGTAGTAAAGTAGTTCTTGTTAGTTACCGGAGGTTCGTCAGCTAATCCAGGGGAGCGGGGAGTGAAGCCTGCTCGTCGACTACTGTTGCCGAAAGACGCCTGTGCCTTTTGCTGCTGATAAGCACTCTTAGGAGGAGCATATTCTGGTTTGGGGGTATTTGCATCTCGTGCTGCTGACGTGGGTGCCCGACCGGGAGTCGCGGGAGGTGCTCTTCTTGTTGAGCTGGATCTCATATTTTCCCATGCATCTGCATAGCTCTTGCGAGACTGGGGATCGTCGCGAGGTGTAGATTTACCCTTCTGTGGCATGCTATTCGTGAAGGGAGCATAACGATCAGCACCAGAAGTAGGAGGCCTGCCGAAATGGGAAGATGATTGTGTTTGGTGTCTAGTAGGGGGAGGTTGATATTGTTTGCCAATATCCTGCCATGGGTTACCTCGTACACCCGATGCCTTAGGATAGCGCGACACATGAGATCGACGTGCGTCGTCATATTGCCGTCTTAATCTGTCGTCGGATAAAATCTCGTGAGCGGATTGGATGGTTTGGAATTTGGGGTTAACCTCGGCCTCTCTGCCTGGGTTACGATCTGGGTGATACTTTAGAGCTGGAGAGGTAGAAGTTAGCTAGGAGGATAAGAAAATATGGATAGGGAAAAAAGAAGAGGGGGGAGAATCGAGAATAGAGAAGAGAAATAGAACATACCTAATTTCTTGAACTGCTTCTTGACCTCTTCAGTAGAAGCACTCGAAGAAATGTCTAGATCCGCGTAATAATCGCGGGACTTATCCCACTGTGGCATGGTGGGCAAGTGAGGAATCTGTAAAGGACATTCACAAGCGGGTAAAGTGGATGAGGGTTGATGCTCAGTGAGCGTACAAGGCAATGTGCCGTTTCAAGTTACCATTCCAAGCTGAATTGAATAATGGTTGTCAAGATAAAGAAAGACGCAATTCAAAGCGAATTTGCAAGAACTAGACAGTAGATGGTAGATGGTAGACACTAGGTATGGTGGTAACGTGGATGCGAGGTGTGACCTGTCGTTGGAGGAGCGTGTGTGGTAAGTTGGTAAGTTGGTAAGATGTAGTAGGCAGGAGTACAGCCTGGTTTGTTTTTGTCGCAAGACGAGATCTTTTAGAGGTACCACTTTAGGTCCTAGATAAGATAGCTAAGGCAACCGAGGATGCCTAAAGATAGTTGACTTATCGATATCGATAGGTGAGTTAGACAGCCTCGTTCAACCTTCAATGTTCATTAGAAAAAGAATGAAGAATGTTTTAAACTATGTACGAAAATGTTACGCGAACATGTGCACATGTGCCGTGGTGAAAAGGTGAATAAAAACAGATGGATGGTAAGAAGTTGTTCGCGCGTCAACTACCTCATTACGATAGCGGCTGACAGGGTAACGAGGGTAGCGGAGTGGGGTGTGGGACGCACATAATAAGGTTAAGGCAAAAAGAAGACAAGGGTGAATCAGCACCAAGCAGCACCAAGCAGCACCTGCTCAGTGGGAAACTCTGGGAAGCTAGCGGGATAGCGGGATAGCGGGGTTTTTAGCTGGTGGGGTCCATGACGCGTGGGGCAGTTAAAGACGAATATCATTGGAAGTAAACAATGAAACCTCGTAAAATCAACAAGAATATATAGGTACGTACCTAACCTGTCTGACTAGCATGTCTAATGAATTCGTCCGTATCTAGTAGCACGCAAGGACCGCGATATTCGGGTTGGTCTTCATTTAATGAGCGGAATTCGTTAGATAGTAAAATGATGATGAAGGAGTAGAAAAATGAGGATATGTAACAAGTTTGAATGTTCGAATGGATAATCGGTGTCGAACGAAAAGATGACCGATGATGAAATTTCTTACAATGAATACATGCACAACCCCTGGGAGTACGAAGTGGGCAGGGCGGGCTGTAAGATTGTGTGCATGTATGCGTGTCATACGGTAACTTTTTTCAGAATGGGATACTTCGTTCAAGTTGGTTTTAGTGAGTAAAAAGCGGTAGAAGATCGTACAACTTCTATGTACCTATGTACCTGGCAGCCTGGGTAGTTGAACTCATAAAATCCCGTTTCTGCCGTGTTGTACGAGGTATGTACTAGGTAGGTACCCTACAAATAATATTCCCGGCGCGAGTATAGGTAAGAGGTACCTACCTAAATATGCAGACTTGCCAGCTCAACGATATAAACTTCCAAGGTTAACTCACCATTAGATGTCAGGTAACCTGAATTTGTGGATGACGTCAGGCTTTCTTTCCCCCTTTCATTATCACAGCATCCTTTAGCTATTATTATTCCTATAGCATTCATGTCTGACAATAAATATGGTAAATTTGTGTAACATTTCATCTTCTATCTTCCTGCAATACCTCATCATTTTCTTCCACAACACCTGCCTGGCACTTACATATACCTAAATATCCCGATAGGGAGGACCGAAAGGATTGCATCACTTCAAAATTAAGTCCGCCTCAATGCTTAATACCCGTCAGCCCGTACGGGATATTTACTACTTGTTTCCTGGCTCGGAATATTTACGACATAAGTTGGGCAAGTCATGTTAGGCAGCCTAGCAGTACATAGGTAGTCGATAATGTTACCTCGATCTGTTCAATTAGACCCTTCGCTGCATTGCGGGGACTAGCATTAGTTAAAGATTCCCGAAAGATCGGTTCCTTGCTGCATGTCTTTCGTAAAATTTAATTCTGACCTGTCGTCATTATCATCTAGTGGCATCTACCCTCCACAAATACTCCTACGTAGCTGCGTAGTTCTACCCGCACTTAGTGCCTGCCCAAAATGGGAAAACCCGGGTGTCGTATTAATCGTCATAGTGCATCACACTTCCGTCCCAGACATCACAAGAGTCACGTTACCATCAAGATATGCAGATCATGAAAAGCCTCAGTCGAGGCATCAATGTAATTTCCTACACTGATCTCCTACATGGAGATAGACTAATCCAGCCTTACCAACATGTTATAATGATATGTCATATGCCTTAAACGCCAGACCCCTCGACTTTCGTAGCCGAATCCTTCGTATCATGATCAAAGTCGACCGACAACACCTTGTGATGCAATAACCATTAACCCTGACGAGTCTTTTCATCCCTTCTTTGAGTACCTCTCAACGGCTAGCCTTACACCATATCCCGACTCATCTCATAGGACCACCCACCATCGCGTCGTAGCTTGTCTCTGGCAGCAAGATCCTTGCGGATGTCTTCCTCCGTAAGCCTGTCAGAACCGCTCCAGTTCGCGCTGGAAGTTCTGGCACGGAACTTGTGGAACCGATCCTTGCTCTTGGCAAACACCTCCTCCATGTTAAGAGGGGCCGGTGCTCCGAATACCTGGAAAGGATCCATGCCTTCTTGCTCGACCAGTGCTTGGCGGAGATTAGGCGAATCGGCCCAGGAAGCGATCATATCACCTCCACCACCCTCATCGCTATCATCCTCATCGTCCGTGTTGATCTCTGGGAGCTCAATAGACTCGCCGTTCTGAAACCGGGGAGAAGATCGTGTTGCCGACTTCGCGGTGGACTTACCGCCCGCGACTCCCTGAGGACGTGCAGGCGTCTTGTAAGATGGCCCAGCCGCATTAGGGTTGGGTGCAAAGGGGATGGGGCCCTTAGAAAGCTGGGTCATATCTAACGGATGTGCGACCTTCATATGACTATTGTGTTGATTGGTTACGGTAGCCTTGAACAGATCTCTACTGCCGTTCAGCGAGGCATTCGCGTACCCGGACTGGAACATGGACTTCGTCGGCAACTCCTAGTAATTTGTTAGCGTTGTATCGACATATAATTCTGAGTAAATGATTTACCTTCTTGTAACCGCCAGAGGGGCGTACAGGTGCCCCCTTGAGACTCGGTTGCTTCTCCATCTCAGCCTCGTCATCAAATTCGTCAGTCATACGAATTCGCTTGGATTCCTTAGACTGGTAGGTGGTGCCACCACGAGCTGCGGTCTGGCGAGTACCATCATCGTTGTGGTCCGGCTGCAAAGGTCGCTTCGTATTAGCTTTAGATGCTGTTGACAATACCGCGTTGACCGGGCGTCCAGCATCTTCCTGAGATCGCTGAGCGTTCGTGGCCAGGCGGGAAGGCGGTCGACTATAGTCCGGGGGGCCATTTGGCTGACTTCGAGCAGCTGGCGGAGGCGCTCTAGTCTGCTTAGCCTTCTCGAGCATAGCTTGTCGCTGTGCGTTCTTCTTTGCCTCCGCCTGCATCGCAGCCTGCTTTCGATCTTCCTCTCTCTGTCGCTCAGCCTCAGCCTTTCTCTGTTGTTCCTGACGCCTCTCTTCCTCTTGTATGGCCGCTCTCTTTCGCTCTATTTCCGCCTTAGCGTCGCGTTTACGTTGTGCCTCACGTTCTTCTTGCTCTTTTCTTCGTGCTGCCGCTTCAAGGGCTTTAGGTCGTCCCGAAGAAGATGTTGAGCTCTTCAAACTCTGTAAAGAGGGCTTGGTCTGTAGGGCAGGCTGGCTAGACTTAAGCTTAGATTGGGGCTGAGCCAATGTCTCGTGAAGACTTGATGCTAGAGCATTGTTCGAAGGTTGATACTGTGGATGTTGTGAACCCATATTAACGCGAATGACAGTAGGTGCCTGCTTAGATTTAACGATTGGCTCCTTTGCAGGCCTTGTAGGCCGCTTGATCTCACGACCTTTGGTAACAGAGGGGGGAGGAATAGCCGACCGAGGCACAGAGGGCGGCGGCATAGTGGTAGGAGCGTCGAGCATATCAATGTCGTCTGTCTGGTTATCGTCGGAACTGGCGATGGCTGGCTGAGCCTTAACAGGCTTACGCGGGCTCGCAAGACCTGATTTCGATGGATTGGCCGGGGTTTGCATGGTCTTCTTTTCTTGCTCCTTCTGGGTAGCAAGCTGCTTCTCCATCGCAGCGACTCTTTCTTGCTCCTTACTAAACACGCGGGCCTTCTCACGTTCCTTCTCGCGAGCTTTCTCTAACTTTTCCATCTGCTCAGCCATACGTCGCGCTTCCTTAGCCTCCCTTTCCTTTCGCTTTTCCTCGGCCTTCTCGCGCTCTATCGAGGCCCTGGTTCGTCGACTATCTGTGCGCGTTGGACTAGCAACGCTTGCTATAGTCTGTTCTGTAGCATGGCGAGACAAGTCTGGGTAAAGGGGTTGCGCCTCCATTCTACGAGGGGATGCAAGAGACTCGGAAGAAGCGATAGTGTGTAGACCTAATCGAGTGGTGGATGGTGACAGAAGCGAGGTTTTACCTTCGGCACTGATGGCAGCGCTACTTGCCAGCAGGCCCTTCGAACTCTTGAGAATTGACGACAACTTGTTCTTAACCTGCTTCAATGGGCTATCCTTGAAGCCACGCGATGGCGACTTCATAGGCGTGGTAGGCCCCTCTGTTTCAGGAACAATGGCCAGAGAGGGGTTAGATACCGAGATGGTCTTCTTAAGACTAAGATCTTCGCCATCTGTGGATCCCTGAAATGGCAATACAGGAACAGATACAGATTTGTGGTGGCCTAGAGCCTTGCCTGTCTGTTCTAAAGCTGATGGGCGCTCAGGAGACTTGGGGTTATTCTGTGGTTGGCGAGTTTTCGGTACAGCGAAATCCCCTCCGCCAACGGTCATCTTGCCAGACACACCCTCCATTACATCCGCGGTGTAACTCTTAGCTAATCCCGGCCGCGGACTACGAGCGTCCGAAGCATTCTCGGGTGTTCCAAGTGGCTGGATCCAATCATCTTCATCATCCGTTGGGAAGCTACCCGGTGTCGTTGTAGTATGCTTCAGCGGAGGTAACGGCTTTGTTTGGGACGAAGACTGCGAGGCCTGAGTTGTAGGAACCATTGATTGGGCAACAGACTGATCCGGAATCGATTTCGAAGATCGAGAAGCCTGTGTTTGCGGCTGGCCTAGTTTGCTGATCTGGTCCTGAAGCCGTTGGGTATATGTTTTATTGTGCACGGTCGCGTTATCCTGCACTGCCTGTGATTGAGACTTCCCAGTGAAAGGATCGTCGACATCATCATCGGCATCGTCATCGATATCCATGTCATCATTCTCCTCGTCCGTAAGATCGTGCTTAGCGCGTCCCAAACTTTTTCCTCCGGTGTATCGGTTATAGTAACTAGTTCGGTTCTGGTCAAGGTGGCTAGTTCGTGATACACGGTTACCTATGCTCTTCTGGGTGATAGGTTGCCTTTCAGGCAAGGAGGCAAAGTTAAGACTACTCTTTCGAACAATAGGTCGAATCGGACTTGGACTATCCGAAGAGGATCTCGATGGCTCCTCAAGTACAGTTTCCATTGCATCGATTTCAGCACCATGCTCTCTGGGGCTAGAAAGCATGTATGTAGCAGCAGGTGACTTCATGGGAGATTTCCTCAGTGAAGCATGGCTAGGGGATCGCAAAGGAGAACCAGCAGGTGTAGTACTCTCGTGGTGGACATCAATTTTAGCAGATGAAGCTGTTGCGGCAACATGAGCGGTGAAATATTGAGTATCGGCATCACCCATGTTTGTCTCAACTGTAGGGTTCATTGAGTGGCGAGTTGAACTATCGAGTTGAGGGTGATCATCAGAGGAGTGGATGTTCATATAATCTTCCTGAGAGTTTGCCTGTTGGCTGAATGGCAGCGTTGCCTCATCGTCCATGATAGGGTGATCAATGTCCATCGCGTCTTGGGACTGGCTACCATGATATCCGGAATCAATCATAGAAGCGGGTTGCTTTGGGGCTGCGGGTTTCGGAGCAGCAACGTGCTTCAAGGGACTCGCAGGCGCGGCTTTTTTAGAAGGCGATGGTTGAGGATCAGCAGCAATTTCGATCCTGGGTGAGTTGTTTCGGTTGATATTAGGTATAGCAAATGGATTGGGTGCTCCCTTAGGTGTGGCGGAAAAGATATCAGAGAGCGGCTAAGAACTATTAGTGATCGATTCATATTAATATCGCGTCACAGAAAATCATATAACCTACAATACGAGCTTCTCCCGCGTTTATCTTGCGCACAGTTCGAGGTGTCTTGCCTCTTAATTTACCTGGAGTCTTGAATATCTCTGCCACATTACTGTTGTTGTTTGGGTCAGCTTCGAGAAGTTGCAGGCAAGGTTTAGTTGTGTACGCACATCTGGTTCTCACTAAATATATCTGCCATATGCTCGTTTAACCAATCGAAGTCGTTCCTAGCCGAGAAAGAGAATTCTTCCACCTCCGATTGAGTAATCTGCATGGCAGACGATCGTTCTTCTGATATCCATGGCCCGGAGCCAACGGGCAGACGCGCCCTTCGCGGCCCGGCCATCACAGCTGTGTTAAGAAACGCGTCGTGTTGGGATGAATCGCGTGCGATTTCTCGACGAGAAAGAGAGACAAATATCTATAATAATCGGTGTTCAAGTTAACATGGTTTAGATAAAGGGTTGAGAAGTGCGACGTCGAAAAATTGGGAGTCGCGAAATTGAACGCCGGATTTTGTTAACGGACGAAAGTTGGCAAGTTCAGATGCGGGTGCGGATGCGGATGTAGAAAGAATAGGTCGAGGCGTAAGTGCTTAAGTGTAGGGATTGTGCGGGCGGTGGTGATTGCCGAATTATTATTGGCCATTCAGAAACTGGGTGTAAACATAAGAGCTTGGACCATGTTTGCATGTTTAGTGAATATGTACATAAAACCTGATAATGCACAGCACATTTTCAATTTTATTCACTTAACCCCTCCCCAATTTTAACATTTTAACATTTCTTTCCAGGCACCAAGGTACCAGGTATTGTACAATTCGACGTCATATTGGTACTGGGCAGGTACCATGTTAATTAACAATAAGCATGATATAAATCAGCCATTTCCAACTGTCTGTATGTTCAACAGTTCTTCGCATTTTATGTATTTCCTACATATCAAGGTATTGTAGAGAAGCTTCAATTCAAAACACTAACATCTGTAGACCGAGTCACAATTAGGTTGGATGACAAACGGCATTTTACTATAGTAACGGGTATCCTAACTCCTAACTCGTTAAAGCATCATTAGATCCAGACCTAAATCACCACCATCATCGTCCCAATCATGTTTCTCATCATCACTCTCCTTCCTAGGATCAGGAAGGTCATCCCACATATCACCAATGCCTAAAGCCTCAGGGGCATGCCAAAAGCGTTGCTTGGTATATTCGCCCGCGGGGTCGCCTTTTCCGGCGACATCCATATCCACGCCAACTTTAACCCAGCTCCAGAAGTCCAAATTACTCTTATCCTTGATACCCTCTATTCGAAGGTTCTGGTAATCTCCGTAGTCCTCTTCATCTTCGTCAACGTCCCCTATCTCCTCCACGACAAACCTCGCTCCGGTTGAGGGTCCGTAGCCATACGGGAACCATTTAGTCGCTCTGGCAAAGGTAGCCGCCCTTTCGCGCTTCACATCTCCGGGCCAGCGAATATCCTCTAACAGTTTCGCGTGTCTCTTTTTCGGGATGGGGACGAAGTCATTCGGATCTCTAGGTAAACCCTCAAAGTGCTCGGCATTGTCTTGGCCCCAATCTATGTGAATCACATACACCGGGAGTATCTGCGCGGTGTCAAAAACAATATACTCAAGGTCACGGTTTGCTATGTGAGAGTCGGATCCGGGGTAGGACTCGGTTTGAGTACGCCAATTGTCATCCCGAGTTATGCTAGCCGCCCGACCCATCAGCGTGGCGCAGACGATCAGCTTGATGCCGAAATACTCGTTTGGCTTAGTGGCGTGGCATGTGGTATCAGTGTAGGAAAGCGAGAATTCTGGGTTTGGGGAGCTGTAGATCCCCCTACCATATGTCGAGCCGCATCGAACCTCGTGTTGCTCATTCGTGCCTGGCTTCCTTTTCCCGGGCTGAAGAAATCCATGTCGCACAATGGATGGTACAAACTGTCTTGCAGTCCCGTGAAAAGTCACATGCGGCTTCACGAGATGATCTAACCACACATCCTTCCGTCCAATGCTTTGCATATTGGGCGGCACATGCCTGCGAAGATGGTTCATCCCTATTTTTGACAGCTCATTTCTCATCTTCCTCTGCTTCTCATGGAATCTATGGACTAGGTCAACCCTTAGAACCTCTTCGACATGAATAATCCGATAATTAGAAGGAATCTGAGAACAGATTTCCTTGGGCGTCTTTTGTAGGTAATGGTATCCCATGTCGCTAATTGTCATGGCTGGCTTCTCAAGCGTCTCGATTTTCGTCTCAAAGGGGAGATATGATTTTTCGCGCTGAACGTTCGCTGTTGATTTACGCCATGCTTTCAGATAGCCGTTCGTCTTCGTGGCAAGCTCTAAAACCGCCATCGTCGGCTCGAAGACCCCAAATTCGCTTTCTTCTCTCCCCCTCCATTTCGAGATATTATTGGTAGTCTCTGCGGCCTCTGCGATCTGTCTCAGTTGTGCACGGAGCTCGTCTACCATTTTCCTTGGCAACGTCGTATTCTCAACCTTCCAGGTGACCGACATAGCTGGATAAAAGGGGCCGGCCGTGACATGAAGGATCAATTCTTCATGCTCAAATATAAGCTCCTGATCCAATGGTGTTTTGAGTTGATTCTCTTGATTTATTAGTCCAGCTTTGATAAGTTCGTCGATCTCGAAGTCGCGTAAGAGAGACAACTCAACGAGTTCATCCTCGCTTAATTCAGGATTATCAGCCATCCTAATTTCAATCGCAATTGGCCTTTCTTTCTGGTTTCCTTTCGATGAATTTAAAGATACGCTTTATATCCGTTGTCTTTAAATCAAGTTCTAGATTCATGATATTTATGCCTACCGGTACCTTGGAATTATAAATTCAATTCAATTCGTTTGCGAGCAATCCGTATATGGTCAGGATTGCGGCACAGCTGCCAAGTATCTCAGTTTCCTGACGCATAAAGATGAGTCAAAATGAGTTCAGTGTTGCTCATGCCGTTGGCGATCGTTTATTACTACATAAGGCACATTGTAGTAGGCTAAACTCCACAACCAAGACCAAGAAATACTAACATACATAATTGTCTGGGCAGTTAGATAAGCACTCTATTTTCCTATTACGGGGGTTGTTGGAAGTAAACCCCAAGCTAGAATAGTTAAGACTGGGGCTGAGCTGAAAATCTGGGGCTTCAGTTCAGAGAGGGTTCAATTGTGAGGGCGAAAGGAGAAACTACACAGCGTACGTACTTTATTCCAGCTATAGAAACATCAAGTTAGATGCTTACACTAACGTTAAGATAGGTCCAATAACACACCTGAAAGATAGAGCTGAGCTGCTAGGAGTTTAGGACTAGACCCAAAATAATGGATGTATGTGGAGCAACACCATGGACTTGTGACGAAGAGGCGCTTTGGTCACACGATGAGAATAAACAACTTGTCAAGGTATGTAAGTGCTTAAGGATATTTTGGAAAGTATCACCGCGTTTTCCTTCTGTTCCGCCAACTTCATTCGAATTTTAATTAAATAATCAATAATGGGAATGATGTTCCGCCTTCTCGTCTTCCTCGCTGCCACCGCTTCAGCAACCCTCACAACTCGTCAAGTAGACTACAGCTCTCTCCACTGCCCATCGGACTCCCTAAGCACATTAACAACGCCCACCTACGGCACAGACGGCGCAATATTCACCGTTTGTTCCGAGCTTCTCATCACGGCCTCGCCTCTTGTCGTGTATAACGCGATTCTGGACTTCAAATCGTACCAACAATGGAACACCTTCATAACCGACGTCGCCCTGCCCTCCAACGTGTCATCAACCCCAGGAGACCTATACATGGGAACGGCCATGACCTTTACGTCTAACGGACTAATCGGAGATCTCAACACCACGAGCGCGGAGATCCTCACGCTATTCGACGCCTCCGGCTCTTCGGGGTATCTAATCAACGCGTGGCGTTACGACGATGGAGTAGGAGGCGTTAGCGCTAGAGCAGAGCACCCCAACGTTTTGGTCGACCTGGGAAACGGATCGACGCGGTACCTGTCCTACGAGACGTACTACGCGGGATTATCGACGGGCGCGATAGCGCTGTTGAAGGGACAGCTGAAAGATCAGTTCGATGCCCAGGCGCAAGATTTGAAGGCATATGTAGAAAGCTTGTAATCACCTAGTTGCTTCAAACCTGGCGCCTTAAGATCTACTTGAAAAAATAACATCGCATTTAGACTATGTATCTTTATCTTAAAGGGGGAGTTTAGAAAGACAATAGCGGGTATTTTACCGGTTTCCCTCGAATCAGAATCTATGATAACTTTTGGATACTACTTAAAAAAGTGGCTTGTTTCAGAGAAATGAAAGAGCAGACGCCTCAATCAGTTCATGCCAGCTGAACCTAACGTATTATCACGAATGTAGCATAAGGACAACCGGGAGATCGGCGAGATTAGGGAACGTAGTGTTAGGGATTTTAAAAATCCTGTATTGATGAATCGAGGTGCATTGATGCCCTCGTGCAAAGACCTGTTTGCCAGGTTGGGCATTTGCTACGCCCCTAAGCAATACCGAACTTGAAAGCCATCAAGTTACCGCAATTAGCCTTGTTCCCCTAGGTTGTGCAATCCGTAAACCCAACGCCAGCTGATACGCAGGCTCGCCAAGTCCTGCGTACCGCTCAATGTCACAGACAATTACACATCTTTATGGGAGAGCCGAGTTGTTGGTCTCCAGATCGGCGTAATGCAACGTAAGAGTACGCTATAAATATTGTCAGTATCACCACTTCAGAGAATAAGGCAACAAGGTAATATAAGCAGGGCGTGACTTACACGTTCCTTACGCCAATCTGTTGTATTCCAGATGATGTAGTAGCCCTCCTCATGCTGTGCGCTGAGAATACGGGGCTGCATAATCTCATCTTTGGTCAACCAGATCTTAAGCTTCTTGTGCCATCGCCACGCTCGGTTGTACAGCTCATGTGCGGCCATATGCTGCTTGATATCTCCGGGGCAGCTGTAGAATATCCACATTAACGTCTCCTCGTTGAAGTTGCTAATCTTGTTTTCTAGAGGCTGCACGTTGTTCACATTATAACATTCCGGAAGGCGGTACTCGGGAATTCCTGGCCGAGGCGGAGTGTCGTTGAACAGCGAGAACACCTGGGTTGACAATGGCCTAGCATCATATTAGTAATAAATATAAGATAGATGCAATACGTATAAGCTTACTGGGGAGACGTGAAGTCTATACCAAGCGTAGTTGGATCGAGCCCCGTAACGGCAGCGTTATAATCGGGATAATTATTCATTAGTGCGCGGAGACCTTTGATTCCCCACTTGTCGATTGGCGTCATCCCTGCTAAGGGGTCATGTACGGACGCGGGCTGGTTGGCCTTCTCATCGCTGTTCTTGCCCGAGGGAGCATCACTGGTACCGATCGCACCAAGGGGATTGCGACCGTCAACCGACTCCGGAGCATCTTGTGTGGCTGATTGGGTTGTTATGCTATCTTCTCGGAATCCAGGAGGTTTTTGTCGACCTTCCTCATTAGCGCCGCTACCTGTGCTTCTAATATCTTGTGGTCGCGAAGCGCCTGTACCTCTATTAACACGTATCAACACGAGAAGTAAGAAATCAGCGTACCTATAGCCGTAGATCCATCTGGGGACCGAACATCCGTTGTTCGAGTGTTTGCCGATAACGCATTGAGCAGACCGTTTCCTGATCTAGGGCCTGGCAAGGATCCAGGAGCTGCGTTACCTTGGGCACCAAAACCGAGAGTCGACATCAGACTTGATCCACGTTCCTGACCTATCTCTCCATTGCCGTTCCTCATGTTGTTGTTATTCAACGGAGGGAAATCGTCGATGCTGCTAGGTTGGGGTTGGGATGATTGAGCGACATTATTCTGGCTACCAAATCGATACTGGCCCTGGCCAGATGTCATGCGCGAAGGTGAAAAGAAGTCATCTTGCTGCGGTGCATGTTGAGCGGATAAAGGAGTAGGTTGTTGATTTCTCTGTATGGCCCCACCCATACCTCTAGATCCTCCTGCTGACCATAACGAAGATCCTCCAGCACTCGGAAGCTGTGATGTATTTGATAAGGAGGGAAACTCGCTGCTATATAAATTAGCGTCGGCCTGCAAGACGTGTCTTTCTGATTTAGGAAGCATGGCGCATAAAATGGAGAGGGATAGTGAACTGAAGCCAAATATAACTTGAGACTAGAGCAAAGAAGGGAATATAATGCAGATGTTTACCGGTCAAACGAAGGTGGACTACTGGGCTTGTTCTTCTTTTTAGCCACAGAAGCGTAAGACAATGCTCCATTCAACGGTCCGGTTGTTGCAATAGGAGGAGGAATGTGAGTGTCTATGTTCATCTTGAGAACAAGCTTAGGCTTCTTGGCCTTTGGTGACGTATCCGACGGTGTATACGACGGTGCCATAGCTTGCCATCACTTATAATAGCAAAGGACGTTGAGTAGCAGACAATTGTGCATATGCGACGGAGTAATGCTAGGTGGAAGAGAATTGCAAATGGTGAGGTTGTAAATGTGAAGGTTTGTGTATAAGTGTGAAATCACAAAGTGAAGGACTTGGGCAGTGTGATTGTCGAAGGGTGAAGTGATTAGTCAGGTAAAATAGAAACACCTACGAGAGATCGAGGGGTGTTGCCGGCTGAGAGCCACTCAAACTTTGGGCAAAACTGAGGTTGCCGCCTAGTTGCCTTGATGATGTCTGAAGCGCAGCACCACCCATAGGAACACTACCAAACGCCCATCCACCACCATTATTCGCTTTACCATGATGCATAATATCAGCTTCGGCGCCAGCACGTATTAAACCATCTTGCCACATTATCATACCTAATTTCCCATTTGGTAATCGGCCGGACACTGTTCTACCTGGTTGTTGAGGTTGTTGTTGACCACCAAATCCAGTTGGCATCCCTCGAAGGGATTGTGGCACGGCTCCTGACGACGCCTAGCATTAGCCAAATTCACTAAAATTCTCCATGTACGCAACTAAAAACGCGGGCTATAATCGATTCTTTCTGTATATCCAATACGAAACCAACACGCAGAAACCGTTCGCGATCTCGTTCGATCGTCTAGACGAGGCTGACAATTTGGGAAGGCTGAGATCAGGAGGTTAGAGGGGGGATCACCCCAGGGCCTCAACCATTATCCTGGTACAGTCAATGTCATAAAGAGTAGATTTTCGAGCTCGCGGCGGTTTATATAGGGTCGGCTTAGGGAGACTGGATAGCGAATAGACAGACGCGACAACGACGTAATCGACATCACGGCGAGGAACAAACAGGAGGGGCACATGAGGCAGAGGGAGAGAAGGTTAGCACTACCTGGTCGATTCATGACTACGATGCCACGCTAGAGAATTTTTGGAATGAAATCGTTAGAGTATTTCGTTCGTTCGCTTCGTTGTTGTCGGAAAGGTTGTATGCGGGGAGATTATTGTCTAAAATCGAAGTTATACTTGCGAAACAACGATGTAGTTTATTGGAAGCTTGCGATCGCAAAATGGTTAAGTTTTACTGGGGTTGGCTTGTTCTAAGGATGAGCTAAGCCAAATCGCGTTAAAAGACCCACTTATAGCTATTTATCTACGCGGTAAAAGTAAGTTGCATGTGCTACGTAGTACTAGGCCCGTGCTGTTTCCCCAGTTCTTTCCTCAGCCTCTAGGGTCATATGTAATTTCTTCCTAAATCTATGTTCTCCTTCCATAGTTAGGTAAGAATCACTTGATCACCCACCTACTATTAGGTAGGTACCTGTCCAGTATATTCTCCAAACACTAATTCAGGTGTTATCGATATTTCATCCATAAGAACCTAGTCATCTATCCTGGAGCACACTGAGTAAACTTCTCTCAAAGTCAAACCCTCGAACGCCTCTTCCGATGAGGACTAGTTTTCCTCTTTGTGGGAGCTCGTCGCGTCGGCTGGATGTTTGCTCCCCGGCAAAAATCTCGAATACTTCTCTGACCCCTTGCACCATTTTTACGTTGCCATTCTTGAAAACGAGGCGGGACTTTAGACGGTGGATTTCAATAGCTCCTTCCGGATTGGTCGTTTCACCTGGTACTTGGCTCTCCCATAACAACGATCTAATCCAGCTGTCGACTTGCTCGAGCTGCTCAGGAGCCAGAAGCGGCACGTCGATAGAGACTGTGGAAATGGTCTGCGGTGATGTTAGCTCAGGTCCCTGTTCACAACAGATGTTGGACGAACAGGATCAAGATGACTATGGCCCTTCCCCGCAGTATCTAATACCTCCACTTGGTCATATGCATGTAAGTCCAGTAAGAAACCCTCTAATTGGGGCACAACACTTTGTTTCGTCACGTGGATCTTCGCGAGACCGTTGATCGCTTGGATCCGCTCCTTGACGTTCTCGAGTTCCGCGGGTTCAACTAGGTCTGATTTGTTAATGACGATAACATCCGCATGAGAAATCTGGACGTGAGCGGTCGTCATCAGAGGGCCGTGACCGTCATGGTCTTCGTGACCTTCAACTTTTCCTGATGGATCATCTAAGCTACGAAGGATATTCTTCGCATCCACTAGTGTGACGATGCCGTCTAGGTAGATGGTGCTTCCAAGCCCGTCGTCGACCCAGAACAAGGGTGCTAGATTACCAGGATCTGCTAGGCCTGTAGTCTCTAGGAGTATATAGTCGAATGCACCTTTCTTTTCCATCAACGATTCAATAGCGTTTACTCCAGAGTCTCTGCATCGGGATTAGAATCCTCCTCTGTTAACTAACAAGGTGTGATGGTACTTCACAGAGCAACAAATACAGCCGTTGCCAACTTCGAGCCATTCCTCAACTTGCTCACCACCTTTATTAACTGTCAAGGACTTTTCAATATCGAGTGCTGAAGCGGAATTAGTATGGTAGCCCCTTGATACGTAGGCTTTTGTTACTACTAACAATCACCAAATTCATTCATTATGACTGCTATTTTCTTTCCATGTCGGGCAGTTAAGATGTAGTTGAGTAGCGTAGTCTTTCCGGCCCCAAGGTATCCTATATGTCATATGAGAATTGTTGTAATTTAAAATGTAGGTAATTGACGTACCGGTCACAATGGTAATAGGCACCTTGATTAGCTTTTCTTCATCCGACCCTGTCTCAGCTTCAACAAGCTCGGGTGGAAGATCTTCGCCAATACTCATAGTTGAATATCGCCAATAAATAGTATAAGATAAGATGGGATGACTCTGAATGGTCTATTATTTATATGAATGAAAGTGAAAATTGCAAAAGATTTATAAAATATGGTTGTTGCTGCCCTATGTAATTGTCAACTTGCGCCTTTCTTTTGTCATGAGGTACAGTACATACAGTATCCGATTCTGCACCACTTAAATGCATAACTGACACGGCTAAGGGAATTAATTTTTATATTTTTATCTAAGCGCATACTAGGTAGTGTTAATGACCCCCACAGAATGCGTTAATAAGTATTTCGTACTATTGTTTAGGAGGCTTGGCGTTTCTGCGTTTCTAGGAAGCTGCTCCTCAAATCAAACAACAAAACAATTAATAAATCTAGCATTTGCAATTTGGTGACGAAGCTACAACACAACAACCTTTTTTTATAAGCATCCCGTCAAACATTCGTCCCAACGTCACGATTTTTACGTTGCGCCCGAGGTTTGCAGCCTCACGGAGAATATTTCATCATGTCTCTGGCGCAGGGCTCGCCTCGATTGCCCAGTCCGCCGCCTCCCGCCGAAATTCAACTCGGTCCCAAGTCACCAGGACTGGGTAGCACCGCTAGCCGCCAGCTACAACAGATGGAACAAACCGTCGCTGAAGCGAACGCGAAGCGGCGCATACACCCTGGCACCAAATCTGAGGATATGGCTGCTGGTCCGCCTCTTGTCCCGCTCGGAGAGGTGCGTTTGGTCTGCTAACCCTTCTTGCGACAACGATATTTTGTTGAATATTTTGCTAACTAGGACCTTGTAGCTCGATTCCGCTTTTCAACTCCAGGAGCATCTAGCCTCCTTACATTATCATCTTACCAATTCAAATACCACGCCAATAACTCGAGCGGCCGCCATGCAGTTGGCCACGTCACCTCAGGGTATCGACCGAACGCTATGGCTCTATGAGCTCTGCCGATTTCTAATCGCCCATTGCAACAGCCTCATCGTAGGATTTCTTTTTGATACGCCGCCATGTTCATCCGCCACATGTCCCGAGATGCGCGCTTCCGAATGGCAATTCCTATGCGCCGTTCACGACCAACCCAAGAGTTGCTGTGCCATCGACTACTGCTGCCACACACTTGACTGGGCCGCAAATGTCGTCACTAACCCCAAGATCTTCCCTAGCCGATTCGTTCTTGTTTCGGATGGCCTTGATAAGAGCTCTGTGCTGAAGAACCTTGTTAACGTCTTCCGTCGGCTCCATAGAATATTCGCCCATGCTTGGTTCCAACACAGAGGCGTCTTCTGGTCTGTTGAGGCCCAGACCGGGTTATACGCATTCTTCAAGACTGTCTGCGACATGTACGACCTCTTGCCCGCTGAGAACTACAAGCTCCCACCGGAAGCGGAGGGTCTAGAACCAGTTCCATCTGAAAAGCAAGATAGGAACTCGATAATAACCGCTATTGCAAAACCACCCCCGCAACTTGAGAGTGCAGAGCATGACAGTCTGCACGCCCGCCGAACCAACACAGCTAGGCATTCGAGCAGACCGTCAACAGGTAGTGCCGTAACGACTGTTATCGAAGAGCGAGAAGATGACCAAGACATGGCGAACAAGCTCAAGGGCATGCACATTTCTGCCCCAGAGACAGTAGAGGAGGAGTCTGAAGTTGAAGTGCCTGTCATTGTAGAAGGCGAGTTGATAGAAACGTCTTCTGTTATTGAGGCAACCGAAGCACCCCAGCTACCCGAACTATCCGAATTGACCAATGCACGCTCCCAAGGCGTCAAGATAGATGTTCAAGAAGATGTACCCGTGGAGCCAGAGACAGAAACGGATACAGAGACGGTTGTAGAACACGCAGAGGAGCAAGCCGAAGTTAGCAAAGAGGAGCCTCTTAACCACGAACAATCTGTCGAAGAGAAGATTGAAGAACCTACTACAAGCACGGAGGAACAAGAGATCGAAACAGAAGAAGACAACCAGAAAACGGACGTGACTACTGCCGAGCAGCCTGCATCTCCCAAAATAGAACCCGCCCAAGAACCCGCAGAGACGAAGGAGAAAGCAGAAGCCAAGGCAGAGACGGAAACGGAAGAGAACGCCAGCCAAGAAGAAGCTTCCAGCGTTAATGACATTGCGGCAGAGTAGGACTTCGCAACCGACCTGGAGCGATTCGACGAGATGGACACGAATGCCATAAACGAGATTGCGAGGCGCGCTGAAGGAACCCTCAGAAGTCTTCGTCGTCAGTGGCAGATCCGCGACCCCAGCGTCGAACACGACGCCTCCCTCGACGAACGGACCGACGTAGCCTTCGGACACGTAGAAACCATTGTTAGGAGATTGGGCGAGATCATCGGTACGGGGAGATCCGAGCCCGAAGACGACGATGACGAGTACGACTACGACCGGAGCACGTTTTAACACGGGGCGAGATGGAAGGTGGAGGGGACGCTTTTTTTTCTCTTCTTCGAGCATGAGTGATGTATTATCTGACAAACCTACCTACCTGATGCCTATGTTCTAGGGTTGGGGACAGGTAGTTTTTTTATTGTTTTCTCGGAGATGAATACGAAGAGACGGGCCGGGACAAGTCGGTCTTGTGTATGTGTACGAACAAGTGTTAATGTTAGGCCCCTCCGTAGGCTACCTAGGTTCAGGGGTTTCCAAAAAGTGAGAGAATATGGAAGAGGCTGGAGGGTACATATTAGGGGGTCGTGGATGCTGGTGGTGGTGGTTTGGGCGAAGTTCTGGTGCTGGCATTTGCATTGCGAGGAGCGCTCGCGGAGAAACCCTTAGGACTGGAAGTCGTCTGGCTGGATTAATAACATTCCTATATAATGCTTACATCGTGGTGTAATTGCCGTGACGTTGGTTTCTTCTCCCTGATCGATGTTTAATACTCATTCACATCCACGGACACGTAATGGTTCAGGTTCGCGATTGGGGAATCTCTAGTATTATCTCATGTAGTATGCTCCTCTAGATGTAAGTTCCATATCAACGCGACTAAATGTAATCTCAGCCCAGGGGTATCCTTTTTATTCTTCCGCACTTTTTTATCCCTCTATCTACCTACCTACCGAATCGACGATCAGATAGGTAGTCTAAGTATTACATTACATTATCATATTACAATACAAATGTGAGTGGTATGTGTATGTGTCCCCTCAACCCCTTTTCCCCTCTTCTAAGAAGCCTCCCGCCTTAGGTGTTGGTATCATTCCCTTCGCTCTTTCGCCGTTTTTTTTTTTGGTTCCTCCTGAAAACCCCTGTCTTTCCCCTATGACGCCTATTGGGTATGTGCGCAAATCCAGAGATTAGAAGTATGTATGGTTTGTACGTTGTATTGCTAAGCGTATATGATGCGGTGATGGTCTGTTCGTCTCAACCATATCCGTGCGGAAGCGCATATATGTATGTATGTACCAAAGTAGGTGAGATTATGGATTATGTAGGTGTATCTGTTAGGCGCGCGCGTGCGTGCTGTAAATGTGAGAGAAATTAGATTGGGCGATTCCGACATCTCCGCTCCGGTTTCGTATCTGTCACTTGTGTGAACGCCACAAGTCGTCATTCCGGCCAATATTCCTTGGCAGCGATGACCTGTCAGCTGTAATATACGGCGGCGAATGATATGTCTCTTTCGTCTGTACGGGATATTTCACATGCGGACATGCGGGGGTCCGATTCTGTCGCAGCAGGAGCTGCGTATAAATCGTCACGGTAGCTGTGATGCCAAGGAAATATACCTGGATAGTTTGGAATGTGGCTGATCGGGCTGCATGTTTGTGAAGGCTTAATTTGCTACTTTCCATCGTCGAATTTCTGTTATGAAGATGATGCGTTTGTAAGTCCGTATTACGACGAATCAAGTAGATTGGCTGTTCAAGAGACGATGGCGCCGTTTGCTAGACGAAGACTAGTGGATGTCTCTAAGCTGCAGTCTCGTACGATTCCCCAACCCGTCGTTATAGCCGGGGTTTTCCATAGCTTGGCAGATTCCGAGATCTCCCTTTTAGTTCCCACCCAACCAGTCCTATGCCATCTGATCCATGAAAGATCTGATAATGTAGGTTGATATAGTTCGTCTGATGTTGCGATGTTGCTATGTTGCGATGTTGCGCGTAGGTAAGGTAAGTGTAGGCGAGAAGAAAGGTCGGTGGGAAGCCGGACTAGGATAATTGCTGGGTTGTAAAAGGACTTATGCCATGGCATTGGTAATCTTGCTTTTTCTTGCATGCATGAATATTTCTTCGTAAGATCCCCGATCCCAAAAGATCCTGACGTCGTAGTACCTGGCCGCATAGTCGGTCCCCTCACTTCTCACCGTCCCCTGGCTCTGCAGCGCAGAGTTGCATCTCGGCTCGGTTTCTATTCCGGGTCCATTTTCGCCGCATCAACATCATCGTTTCAAACCCTAGTCTTCCCGCAACGTCACAGCAACGTCGTTGCTACCTATTATATGACTGGTAATAAATCAGTTTGCTTCGAAGGCTAGATCCGTATCGACCCTGAATCTTCAAGTCCTTGGTATTCACTTGCTGGTCAGCAAAATTAAGACGTCAATTAAGGAACCGGCGGTAAGGGAAGTGATAGACCGGATCTTCCAAGTGATGCTTATTACTATGCCGTAGCTTAACTCTGGCATTAACCTGTCGTCCCACAGTGTATCACCTAGTGTGACGACGTGCCGCTATTTGATCCACCAGGCGAAGAAATTCCTTCCCCGTCATGGTCGATGCGCATTTTCGCAAAAATGGAACTCATTTCTCGGAGGGATTCTGTCTGTTGAGAAACAGGATTTGCGTTGCGCTCGTCCGCAAAAGCACGAATATTTCGGAGAACAGGGCTCAACCCTTCGTCATTTGGTAGCCACCATTGTATGCAGGAAGGGTCGCGAAATATTTCCGCCATTCGAGTTCGTATGGTAAGCGGGAAAATATACCTGTTTATTCAAGTCGTTGAGCGTTAGTTAAGTTACTTGAGGCTGTAATCCTGTTGAGCAGTGAATAAGAAAAATAGGGGTCGCATATACTCAACCCCCACTTCTATCGTTTTTATTCATTACAGGATTATCCAGACATAAAAAACGTAAAACGAAGCGAAATAAAACAAAATATTGTGGGGTAAAGAAGAGGAGGATAGATTAATAGGCAATGCACTCACCCTAATGACTCTAGCAGTGCATATTTCCTCCTCAACCACATATGGTATCTATTCTCTCGGGGGAGGAACAGCGCTGCTATAGCAAGACAGGCTTGTATCGGGATGAGAGCACCGTTGGGTGCCGAGGGATATAATTGTACGGCTTCGAATATTTCACATATATTATGTGCCAGCGTGTTTAACTCATCTGATGGTTTTTGTTGTAGCGCGAATGCCTCCTGGCTCTTATGCATAACTAGGATAGAATGCCATTCCGCCGTCAGCATAGTAGTCGAGAACAGTGGAAATCGGTAAAGGTGACCTGGCCTGTAAGGATCAACTATATTATCTTCGTTCAATGGAACTCTGTGTTGGAAATCGGTGACAAGAAAATTCGGGTCGGTCAAGGCAGGATCCAGCCTAGTTTTCCATTCATAGAGGCGTTTCGTGATGCGATCGTGTTCCATGGCGAAATCTTCGCCTGAAAACTCGCCTCGACCGCCTTTTGCGTAGAGAATCGACATGTCCCTGGATATTAGCCGTAGAGCAGAAGCATGAAGCTCTGTTTTTACCCCTATATTTTGCGGATCTTTTTCAACTTGTCCCTGACAGTATTGGACCACGCTTGAGAACCATTGTCGAGGCAAATTCGTCTCGAATCCTCCCAGCATTCCCACGAATACGTCGAATCGGATGTACCACGTCAGCAATATTCGCGATGTAGTGGAGTTCATGATCGAGTGGGGTGTGAATAGCCGCGTCAAAATTTCAAAAGCAGCTCTTTGATGTCCCATAAGATTCACCCAATCGCCGAAGTATTCCTTTTTTTCCAATCAGCAACAGTTCTCCATAAGCATGTTGGTATTAAGCCTAGGTTTACCTCGATAGTCGCAAGCTGCAGGATTGTAAGCAGCGTTGCGATGCTCTGCTTCTCTCGCCTCTTCAGATAACTTAGAAGTAGTGTAACACTTTTGTTATAGTATCGTAAGAAGTCGGGGATTTTTCCATTAGGGTCCCGAACCGTCCGGTGGTATGCCGAGAATCCCACGACCGCATTCAAGAGAGCCTCGTTACCGGCTTGTACGGCCAAACTGGGTAGGATCGAGCGAAAGAAGCCATCGGGATCATTAACAACTCCATAGTTATAATGGGTTATATTTTCGCAGTAGTACTGCAAATGGGATTGCAGGTCTGTCGGCAGATGAGACCAATCCAGGCGAGATATCACTGGCTGCAATGCGGGATCAGGAACCTGGAAAGATATCGTAAAGCTGGCAGAGGTGCTCGTTGATACTGCTGGCGAAGCACTCTTGGTACCGTCGTACGACGGCGTTTCGGAGCTCTGTCTTGTTCCAGATCTCTGCGCATTCGATATCGACGTCGTGCTCGTTCTTCGTAGTTCTGTTACGGAATATGAGGCTGGCGACAGCCCCTCGCTAGGTTCATCCTCGTCGATAATTGGCTCTAACTTTAAGCCTCTCTCAATTTCTTCGTCCGCTTCGTCCTGTGAAGAGGTTGGGCTAGGCTCTTGAGTTAATGCCGGATCTTTCGATGAGCCTGACCCAGAAGCGTGCCCCTTTGCAGAAGATGGTTCGGGGTAAACACAATCCCTCTTGCCTTTGCGGCAGCCTGTGACTATTAGCTCGTCTCTTAAAAACTGTGTCTTACGATGATGCTTACGCTCGCAAATAGGGTGGGTTTCATCGCACTAAATTTAATCTTAGCACTGTTATGATGACCTAAAAAGAATAAATGCTTACTTTAACCCGCCTACTTCGGCAAGTATAACATCCCGACCGTGTCCTGCGATGTTTGACATGGTCTGTTCCGGGCGTACTCTTCTTTCGATTTCGATTGTTTTGAGCTTTAGGGGCCTGGAACATTATTGGATCAGGGAAGCCGGGAAAGTAACCTAAATTGTGGTACGAGGTTGCCACAGGCGGACTGACGTTTCCCATCTGCGTAGAGGGTTGCTGTGACTGATATTGGGCATCTTGGGAGTTTTGGTTTGGCGACTCTCCAGACGTCCCCGCCACTGAGGACAGATATTGCTGATAGTAATCACTCATCGGGAAGGATTCGCCTCCGAGCGGAGTATTCGATGTGTGGCTAACTAGGACAACTCAGATTCGGACCACACCCGTAGGAAAAAGGCAAACGGTCCCGCTTCGATACCGGTCTGGCTATGAGAAAATAGATCCTATTTAATGGGTTGCAATGTCGAAGATTTTCATGTAGAAAATAGGGGCGGGATGCAATGTATATCGAAAAAATAATCAAGTAGGGTGAAGTTAATCATCGACTTGACACTGTTTCCCAGGCTGTCGTCTTGATACCTAGCTCGGTGGATAGTTTCGTAAAAGAGGCGTTAGAAACGGAGGGGTCCTGGTGTTAATGATTCGAGGGGTGAAGGCAAAGATTTGGTCCAATACACTCATCGACTAGAGGATTTTCTCTGGCCAATAAACTAATTCAGTGTGACCTCGAGAAGAACTCTACGCCTATGGGATTCTCTCTTTATCCCCAAATATTTGACTCGCCCGTCTTGCCCTTCTTCACTCTTCTCGGCCAGAAAGAGTTTCATAAGCAAGGAGGGAGGGTCTTCCACATTGTCTGTAGATGTAGTAGAAACGATGGGCAGTTTTACATCTGGGGAATTCTCGGAACTGCTGTTGTGCTTGGCTCGGTTGGTTAGGCTGCGCTTCTCACGGTAGTTACGACCAATCCAGAAGCTTGACGGCTATGGTTACCAGTGACTAGGAAGCATTGAAGATGAAATAGTTGTGGGGCTCTTCTAGTACACCTTGCAGGATCCCCCCTAGCGTTTGCTGCTATACCTATGAGGAGCAGGGTCTCGAGGATCTGCTGACAGGATGATAGCTATAGCGGGGCTTTTTTATGCAGCGGGTAACAAAAAAGGCGACGGACAAGGTGCTATAGAACAGAAGCCGATCTTGGGTTTTGGCAGGCTATTCTTTTGGGACGTCTGAATCCACCCACAATTTAGGAATGCCCCCCAAGATGGAGGCCAAGGACAGATCTATGTAATGCTGAATGTCCGAAGTGATTAACTGCTTGCCAACACCGATGAAATCTAATACTAGTCGCCCCAGCTCGCGTTGATCCGATCTGACCCTTCTGATGAGGCTAGTGACGAGATGGTGTGAAAATAGAGCTTAGCGTATGCCGAGTTTATTGCTGGGAGGGATTTTCTAGGGTAAAAAAGACACGACATGGAACTGATATCAAGGCATTGAGGTTATGGGGAAAATAACAGCGCCAGGTTTGGATGTATTCTGGAACTGATGGTTTCTGGGGGTGACCGTAGTTTAAGGGGTATCCACGAATACGTATATTCTGCCAGAGAGAACCAAAATAATGTCAAGGATAAGTAAGGCCTGTCTAGCTTGACCTAGTAGAATAAAGAGTCGAGAGAGAGCAACCCCATAGACGATGATTTGATGTGTTATTCTGGGGGCCGCTTGAGGATAGGTGTGTTGGGTCAAAAGAATCAACCAGTCCACGATAGATGACGGCCTCCGTTGTACGATTTGTCTTTTGCAATATTAAGTGCGTGGGTAAATCGAGCAGCCTTAGCCCACTACTCTGGTACGTAGAAATACCTACGCAATAAGAATTGTTCCGCCAGAGGATATCCGGTTGGCGCTACAACAGGGGTGCCCACCCCTGGCCTACATGGTGAGTGGGAGTCGGGACGTCAGGGAGAGGAACCGATGACACGCAGCCATCTGATATTTGCCCATACTCCTTTGCCAAGCCAATTCAGTAGTGAGCTTCCACGGAAGAGGTGGATAACACATCAACTTAGCTGTCTACTTACCGTAAGAAAGAGCAACTCGGGCAAGTCGCAAAAGGACTACCAAGTACATTGAGAGAGTGGGAGGCTAGGTGCTATGTGTGGTGTATGTGTGTGTAGGTATGTGTATGTATAGATACTGCTGCCGCCAGCCGCTTTTGCAAAGAGATGAGATAAGACCAAGGGCAGGTAAGACAAGGGTCCTTCACCCACGGACATGGGGTCAACCCAGCGAGCCAGGCAGCGGGGAACTGGGGCGCACACACCGGGGATAGAAGACTGCTTAAGATCCTGCCACGCGGTTTGATCAACGGCGGCTAGTGGGAGGTATTCGATCTGTTGATCTCATAACGCAACATGAGACGAATGAGGGAGCCCGAGGCGCCAGTGCTTCAGCTGCCAACAGCCTGCTTACCCTTTCGCTCCTCGCACAATAGGCTTCGTGTTCGCAAAGCTTGCCGAGGAGCTAACTACAGTCATTCTTTCACGTGAAATCTATCGCGATTCGCGAAAATACAAGTTGTACTGTGCGGGCAGTAAATGTTGTATAGTACAAGTTCCCGAGGCGTCTAGGATCGTGAAAATATTCTGGGGCTAGCTTGGAGCCAAGTGCGGCGGAATAATGTTAAAATATCCACTATCGATCGACGAGGCCCTTGACGCTTTTTTAGGAAACTGTCTAGTGGTAGGTGTGGCAGGCCTGTACGCTGCGCTGCGTACTAGGTCTGGAAGAGTACAGGAGAGTAGACCAGTAGACCAGTTGAAATCCATCGAGGTTTGTAGGGCCGATCCTTTTTAGCCCGGCAAAAGCCATTTTGGCCTGGATTTGTCGATACGACGTTAGCTGCAAAACAGAACGGTGGTGGTGCTGGACGAGCCTTTTCGGGGCCGCACCACTGTTGCTGCAAGCCACAAGTTTCCGCTGATTGGATCCGCCTATCGAGGCCCGTTCGTTCAACTTTGCAAAAAAGAAAAAATCCCCTGGATATTTCCTAAAGGGGTAAGGTGCAGGAATAATAAGTGATAAATCAGTACTTCATGCGAAATTATATAGCAAGCATCGAAGATACAAGCCTATTCATACAATATTAGGTGCAAAATGTTGTAACTTTAATGATATTTTCTTAATTATTAAATTACTAATCGATTATATTATGAAATACCTAATATTGAAGCTATCTCTGGCTTTGATTAGGTAGGTAATCTTCACTGGGAGTCGGGAATTGCTTCAATTGAAAGATTTATAGAAGGTACTTTAGTAACTATGGCAGAGCCCTCGCATCGATAGTACCTCTTTTCGCATCCAAATTGTCATATAAACGCAAGTACTTTTAATGTTCCCCCCTTCAATTGAAATAATTGCATCGATCCAGGTAATTACCTATACACGTCACTACTTGCTTAATAATTGAAAAGAGACAGCATTGAATCAAACAAAATTTAGTAAAGCTATCGATTACTAGGTAGGTACCTAAGGTATTAAGTATCGGAAAGGAGATTGTCAAAGTTCAATTGAGTGGGCCAGCACTAAAAGTACATGTATTTGTATTGACATTTGTATGCGAAACAAGGTACTATCGATGCGGGGGCTCTGCCATACTGATTACAACTGCTGTAACTATTACAGCTATTACAGCTATTACAGCTATTACAGCTATTACAGCTATTACAGCTATTACAGCTATTACAGCTATTACAGCTATTACAGCTATTACAGCTATTAT